GAAAAAAGTCGAAAAGCCTAGCTCACCCAAATGTCGTCAATACAACCAAATTTGTCCCCTTTAAATTTTTAGGTGAAGATCAAGATATAGGAGGTATACCTCAGACATTATTTGATGATACAGCTCAAATTTATATGGAACAAAGCACAAGCACGTGTAAAGATAGAGTAGTAGAAAGTGAAAAATCCGAGACATTTTTTTTAAATAACTCTTCAGATATGGAAAATGTACCAATCATTTTTGATGATGGTATTGCAATTGATCATCTATCATCATCATATTGAAACGATTGATGATTTAAATGATGCTGATTATATGATTTCTAGTATAGAAAATAAAAAAAATTACAAGGTTGAAATTTTATCTGATGTCTCTGTAGCAAATCCTGAATTAATCAGAAAATTCTCATTTGACAAAAAACATATGAAATTCATTACGCCAAATAGTACGCTAGAAGTTGCAGAAAAGTATGCGATAGATAAACAAAGTTATGGTAAAAAACAACAAAAAACGAAAACTGTATACAAAAAAGATGAAGATATACTGTCCGTTTTAATGTCTGATATTGAATGATAATTAGATGATTAATGATTAATTTTTTAGAGGCTTAATTTCTAAAGATATATTTCTAAAGATGTTCATTTATATCTAAAATTAATAGGTAATGGTCCGATTTGATTAATATATGTGTGTTTGATTCGTAATTGTTTATTAATTTACTGTATAAATGATAACATTATGCTCAGTTTGTTTGTAGATGTTTTTTTCTTTTCGCATTTCAATAAAGTTTTTCTTACAACTTCATTTCTCTTCACTCTCTTTATTGTACAATTTTATATATACGTAATAGAGTTTTTCAATTATGTTTCTCCTCTACTATATTATTAGGATTTTAAATAAGATACCGTCATAGTATTAGATTATAGTATTTTGACAACCCTGTAATCTTTTTCTATTAACCCCATATGCCGTATCTATTAACCCCATATTCCGGGCAAATGGAAATTAGCCTGTTTTTGGAGTTTTTTTCACAAGATTCAAATAATTTACCATTTTTAAACAAATAAGGTCATAATTTATCATAAGACTCCCAAGATAAAAACATATTAAATACCATAAACATTGTTTTTATATAGTTAATTTGGATTCGAATGTCCACATTGTTTCTATTAACCCCGTTTTACGGTACATTGAGTTTATAATACATATTTTGGATATATAGATCTTTTGAACAGTTGTTTGTGTTATGTCACAAGTATAATTTATAGGATCTTTGTTAGTTTGATTAGGACGTGATTGACATTTTTACATTAAAAATAATAAACATAAATACTCACAATTACTGGCGAATACCGATGAGTATGAGTCACTCGCAGAACTGTCAAATGTCAAAAAAATCCATTTACGTCAGCCGTGCAAACTTTATTACATGCTGCATTAATAATTTATTATTTTATTTTTAATAAATCTGTACTACTAATAGGATTGATCTTAATTTTTATACAAATACTGTTAATTACGTGCTTACTCACTTCTCTAAAACGTAAAATCACGTACAAAACTCAGAAAAAGTTGAATACAGTCAAGTTGGTAGTGTGAGAAATGGAACGTTCTATGCAAAGGATTGTTAAGGTGCGTTCAAAACATGGTAATATGTTTACCCTTGAAGTAAAATAAGCGTAAAGAAATATCAAAAAATATTTTTTCCCCGACCTTCTTTTAACATTGTGATTAGTGTAATTACTATAAAATAAAATAAGCTAAATTTTAATATTTATTTCACCTCTATACACAATCAGGTCAAAAATGGGCATTGTTCTTTCAATTTCTAATTTTGACCCAAATAAATAAATAAATTCCGCACGGGTCGAGCTAAATAAAACCGTTTAATAAACTACAGTGATTGCCTTTTTGTACTTATATTAGGTAAAAAAGTAAAGTAACAGCCTATACATGTCCCACTGCTGGGCAAAGGCCTCCTCTATATAGAGGGTTTCAGGACATAGTCCATCCACATACTTCGGACTTCACATATCTTCGAAATATTTTTTTTGTTATTATTTCTAAAATATGCAGGTTTCCTCAAGATGTTTTCCTTCACCGCGGAGCATGTGATAAGACAGGACTTAAAGTTAAAAACTTCATTGGTGCCGGCACCGGGGATCGAACTCAGGTTGCTCGAGTATGTTGAATTAAAGGCGAGCGCCCGGACACTGAGCTATCACGGCTCGTTATATTAGGTAATCGTTTAATTTCCTAATATCATATACTTCGCTATTCAACCTTTTTATAACAGATTAATAAACATTCACAGACATTATTTTACAGGAATCTTACACAAAAATTTTATGATACGCTAGCTCGGTGCACCATTGTACAAATACGTTTTAGACAGGCTCCTAGGAAGACCGACGACAGCACAATGGGATGTGAAATTTGTGAGAGTGCTCAAAATAATATGCCTCTTGCATAAATATGGTTGTGTTACCAATTACATACTCTGTAACAACTCACTTGGCTTGCGTAACACAACGCTTTATTTTCTCTTGTAAACATCCTTGACGCCGTGGGAATCGATGTTTTTATTAAATTAAACTAATTTCTTCTGTCGCTGAACTTGATGACGGTCGAGTATTGTTCATTCTCGAAGTTTTATGAAATACCTATGTACCTTTTAATTTGAAATAGCATACGGTGGTTAATCTATTAAACAGAGAGGTAATATCGAAAATTGTAATGTTAATTTCAAATCGCATCACTTTTCTCTTATTTGGTTATACATTTTTAACGTTTGTTCTAACGCAATAAAATGGTAGTTTATTATTTGAAGACTAACTCAACGTTTTGGGTTTCTGTTAAATATTAATATATTACTGTTATATTGCAATGGTCTGATCTATTTGCTCACTTTTTAGATACTGAAAGTGTTACCAGTAACTGTGGTAAGGTATTTTAAGCATTATCGACCGAGGGGCACTTTTTAAAAAATTCTAGGATTGCCTATTAGTGCAGCATCATGTCGCTATATAAAACTGTGTTGCGTTTTGTTGTTGTCAAAAGTTAGAAGTTTCTTTTTAAGGTTTTGTATTTTTCAATTAAAATTAAATAGCGCGCATAAGTTTACTTATTTTCTTTTATGTTTTATTTTACGCATAAATTTTAGATATTTTTGACATTTTAGAACCGTTATTTTAGTCGGATGCTGTGCGGTATATTTTCTAAAGTATTAGCTTATATTTTAAGATTTCAAAATGTTCTCTACCATTTCCTTCAACCATATCTCAGTGATAATAGCAAAGGAACTTCTAATAATAAATGTACTCTTAATTCTCTAACATACAAAACTAAAAACACTACAAATATTTGTCCAAAACGGCTAGATTCTTATAAATATCTAAATCAACTTTCGAGTCAGTCAGCAACTATATAAAAGAAATAGTGCACGGACAAGACTATCTTAATTTATTTCGATGCAGGATATAATTGGATTTGAAATAAAACATTTATAAGGTACGCAAACATAACCTATTCGTTATAGAAAATATTTGTTGCATTAAATATAGTCTTTTAACATCTTAGATGTAAAACCTAACATAGGATCAAATCCTAATAAATTTATTATTTAAATAATTAGATAACGATCTATCACACAAGCCGTCCTTACGCGGGGTGTAAGGTGTCGTGACATTCAAGCTCCGAGCCTTACCGGTAACCTTAACATTTAAATCGTAACATATCCAATATTATTATAACCGTTTAGTTTATACTCAACAATGTCACAGGCTTCTAATTAATTTAACAAATTAACAACAAAGAAAACTTCCGTGCTTGAAATTATTGCATGTAGGGGTCATATGAAATCATCTCTTGTTTTATATTCATTCCTTATTTTTATATTTTATTTTTATTAGCTTCATTAATTAAAGTTGAAAATACTTTATCACGGTAATATGCTGAATTGTGAATATTTGACGGCCTATGCAAGTGTGCGGGAAGTCGATGCATCCAGGTGGCTCAGGATCGTGCTTCGTGGCAATCTGTGGGGTGGTCTATATTCGGCAGTGGACTGGCATACATTTAATTATGATTAATGAAAAAACGCAAAAAAAAATTCTACTCTACTTTTGATGATCATTAAGATAAACTAAATTATTTAGCCTGCCGCTTATTCTAGCAAATATTTGACATATACAGTTGATTGCTATTTTTTAACTCTAGGCGTGATCAAAGAATAATTCAAAGCTTTAAAAATTAGAAGACATTATTAAAATATAAGTAACATTTATCAAACAATATTCTAACTTATTCATGTTTATTTTAAATAATTACATTTACTGTATGTTAAATAAATACTGTATACCGGTGTAAGAACAACATACATGAAATATCCAAGTTTCATAATTAATTGTAACAATTACTTAAATAATTAAAAAGTAAAGCCATAAGAATAGACCTTAAACTGGTACTATTATTTATTTACTCGATCTTTATAGGTCTTACGTAACTGATTTATTTTATTTAGCACTGTATAAAAATGAAATGTAACAAGTTTAAAAAATTAAATATTTACAAAAATATAACTATAAAAAAACACAAATTAATATCACAGATTAAAAAGATATGAAAAGAAGTATCTTATTAAGTTCAGATTAAATACATTCCGCTTAAAATTGAATTAATAAAATAGTATTTGAGTTACTTTTAATAATTTTGATGAAATTCGATCTTATAAAAAAAATATTGGATAAATTTTTATGAACTTAATTTTCGTTGTTCGTCATAATATGTTTATGGATCTATATTATAAATATATATATATATATATATATATATATATATATATATATATATATATAATATAGGTATATATATAATATTAGGTATATATAGATAATATTATATATATATATATATATATATATAGATCTATATTATCTATATATACCTAATATTTTTATATCAATATTTACTTTGGTTGTTTTATCATAATTTATTTCTTACTCATAGTTGAACAATCCGTCTATGTCATCATAATAATGTTTAGTTCTGTTGGCTGCTAAGCCTTCGGCTATGCGGTTTCCTAAATCGGAGTGTATGATGGTGAAGAGCTTCACAGCTCTCTCCTGCAAGAATTGCGCTGCGCCTCCTAAGCTATAAAGTATGTTCTCCACGAGACGGCTGCGCTCGTCCTTAGTCATTTCGTTTACGTACAACTCTGTCGCTTGCTGGAAGTTGTTTGGATCGTCTTGGAATATTTCGATCAACTCAGCTCTCCTCTTATCCACGTAAGCTTCAGCGCCGTTGTAAGAGTTGGGGTAGTAGTTCGGTGTGTCCCTTCCGTTGTCTTTCACCGGCGGCCGTCCGTCGCGATTGTAAGCCAAAACTTTCACTTGAACGGGACAGTTTACGGGGATCTTGTTGAAGTTTGCACCGAGCCTGTAGTATTGCGCGTCGCGATAGGCCAAACGGCGGGCTTCGAAAACTTTATCAGGACCGCCCAGAATGCCAGGCACTAGATTAGCCGGACTGTAGGCTAATTGTTCTATTTCGGCGAAATAGTTGATTGGGTTTTTATTCAAAACGAACATACCGACCGGCCTCAATGGATAATCATCTAAGGGTAACACTTTGGTCACATCAAATACATCGAAACCTGCACTTTTGACGTCATTTAAAGATAACACCTGAACGCTTACTTTCCAACTTGGAAATTGCCCATTGCCAATGGCCCTGTAAAGGTCTCTGGTAGCGTAGTCGGGATCGACGGCGGCAATCTTCCTCGCTTCCTGCGACCTTAGATTCTTTATACCAGCGGTTGGTGTAAAATGGAATCTAACGAAACTCTTCTCGCCGTGTTCGTTCACAACTTCATAAGTGTGTATTCCGAAGCCCGGCATATGACGGTATCCGTCGGGGATTCCCCGATCGGCGAACACCAGAAGGAACATATGTAGACTCTCAGGCCGCAGAGTCAAGAAGTCCCACAGCGTATTACCGTCGATTAGGTTCGTAGCCGGGTTCCGTTTCTGCGCTCTGACGAAGGTCGTGAAAAGCAGCGGGTCTTTGTACACGTACATAGGCGTGTTGAAGCCAACGATGTCGAAGTTGCCCTCTTCGGTGTAGAATTTGACGGCGAAGCCCCTGGCGTCCCTAGAGGTGTCGATGCCACCCCTTTCGACTACGACAGGCGAGAATCTCGCTGCCACAGGGGTCCTCTTCCCGACTGCGGAGAACATCTTGGCTTTGCAAATGTGACTGATGTCATGGGTGACTTCGAAGTAGCCAAACGCCCCACCGGCTTTCGCGTGAACGAGACGCTCGGGTATCCTCTCGCGGACTAGATGGGTTAGTGAGTCCATAAAGTATTCGTTGAAAATAAGATTCGAATTGAGGGTAACGGTCGCATCTTTATATTCGACTGGGGCGCCAGCGCTGGTTGTCATAACGCCGATTGGTCCCTGAAATTATTAAAAGGCAATTATTTAGGGCTTAAATTCAATTTCTCCATACAAGGAGAACTTTGCATTAGTACTATTAACAAATGCTTGAATGACATGGCTACTAACATTTTATGCAATAATATTTAAAATTGACCCTCGTTCTGAATATCTGCAAACTGTCAGGTTGTAGTAGAAAAAATACAGTTGCTGCAGCAGTCAAATTAATAGAACTAATTTCGGATATTACATTTTGTCAAAGAAACTAATATTAATTCTTCCTGTACCATATTTATGGCTTGCTTAAATAGTTTTATCTCTACAATATCAACGTTTATTTAAATATTTTGGAAAGCAATGTTTGGAAGGAGTGTTTTCGTTGAACATTATGTGATCGAACTCTCCCTTGTGAAGTTGGGCACATAAGTCTTATTATTGAATAAACGTCTTAGATGTACTATTTTATTTCGTCGCATTGTAAGTTTGAAAACTATATTTCCGCGTAAGTTACTTGCTAAAAGATAGAGGCCAAATTTATAGACCCAAAAATAAATTTAAAATTAAAGGTTTATTCGGCATGTTTTTATAATTACATTAAACAAAATAATGTAAATTAAAACAGAATTTATCGTACACAAATATGAACAATGTGTAGTAAAAATATATATTAGGTAGTATTTTGCACGTAACTTAACCATCTTTTTTTATTTGAGACTCATCCCTACATTTTATAAATTTAATTATCGTAATAATAAAAAGATATAGTTTAAAGATTATGACGGTCAATTTCTACGCTGTCCACAAACAATACATTTTTTATTTGTTATAAAAACTGGATTAATACCTTTATCAGGTTAACCTTGTCAACGTAGAATTATCTAAACTGTGTCATGAACCGTTTACGTCACCGGACATCGACTTTCTGTTCTTAAGAAAAAAATAACAATATTATACCGCAGAGACCGCAGAGTTTTAATTAAGTTTCCGAGAAATAATTGCTTTATTATCCAATAAAATTTGTTCGGCGAAACCGGCACCAATGCTACATATAGTGGCATGCAAGCCTATTAGTCCAGTTACAAGACTCAACGTTGTTTAGTCTATCCATAAATGTTGTTTCTACCCATAATTTATCCTAAATATGACGTCTTTAAAACTACGCAACGGATCTTGATGTTTTTTTTGCTAGGTAGAGTGATTCGAGAGGAAGGTTTGTTTGAAATTATATGTATAATACATTGAACCCGCGTGAAGTCGGGGCGGGTCGCTTGTAGTGTATAAAGGGAATCTTCTGAAATACTGCCGCTGACATTAGTCAACTCTTCATACTATAGACAGATTTTATCAACGTCTCGCTGCCTCTCAACAGTTGGATATTTTAACTTCATTCATCTTGACGCTAAACCAGAAGGGGTAGGTTCAAATCCCGCAGCGACGAAAGTTTTTTTTTTTTTTTCATTTATGTACAAAACTTTTAAATTTAGTTGAGTACAGAGAGGCACTATAAATAAAATGAATCGTGAAATTTGTTTACATTTTATAGTAAAAAAAACCCGCATCAAGATCCGTTACGTAGTTTTAAAGATCTAAGCGTACATAGGGACAGACAATTAAGTTTGTATAATTGTCACAAAAATAAACAAAAGAGAAAACAAGACCGGAGTTTCTTAACGGTTCTTGTCTGTTCGGGTAGTCAAACGGTGGTAGTTTTTTTTTGACGTTCAATTATAGCTTAAATTAAGCCTAAATAATCAATGTTATGGTAATTGTCAAAGTTGATTCGACAATGATTATTATATTTCAAATTATTTCAATCAACTATTTATCAAATATTGTAATTGTACTGTTTACAAAGTAGTAAATTAAAAAAAATACAAAGTTCATTCTTTTTAATTGTGAGATTTGACGCGACCAAATAATAATCGTAAACCATAAAAAGATTCGTTTTAATAATGTAACACAATAGTAGTCTACACTTGCAATTGAACATTAAAAAATAATGCCCTACCTTAGTCTTCTCCTTGAAAAGTAAAATCTGTTGTCCCGCTGGATCATTTTGGACTTTTGCTGAGACCACCACTGACAGCAATACAAGGGAAACCCGCAACATCGTGGCTGCCTACTGCTTGCCTCCAAGCATCCCTCCTCGGACAGCAGTGTCAAACAGTTCTTTAGGCACGGCGCTCTGTCTTTATAGTGCAGCTTATATTGCGACCTCGTTTTCGAGTGGCCAACACTTATAAGCAGCGCAACTATTGCCCAACAATAGAAAAACGTTGAACAGCTTACGTGTTTTCATTGTCATAAGAAATAGCGTTTCATGACTGGAACAGACCTGAAAAGAACACTTACTAACTGCAAGAGGGAGTAGGAATACCGTCAATTCCAAGTCTTTAGAGTTTTCGTGCGCATGGCGTATACAATAAACTTGCAAAAAAATTATAAACTTTCTTAAAATCTCTATATAGGTGCCACAAAAACGCACTCTCGGATGTAATGTTTTTTAAAAAAATTTCGTTGAAGGCTTTAAAGAAAATATTAAGTGTAACATAATGAAATAACGAAAAGAATTACTAAATAAAAAATCTTACAAACATCCGGAGATATTTATTTATTTATTTATAACTACTGAATCGCACTATGTTTTGTGAATTACTAAAGCTTTGTTTCTGAAGCAGTTTCTAACAAACATACTATTAATAGAAATTGGTAAAAGCTGTGTTTCTATCAAAGGATCTGGCTCATAAGATAGCATAAATACATTGAAACTTTAATAATCTACCTGAAAGCAGGCCAAGTAATGTAAAGCCTATATTTACCCTGCCTTTTTGGATGATTTTTACAGGATTTTTAGGTTAAACATATGTATATACATCTTAAGCTTAAGATTACTAATAGCAAAGGCCATTTTTAGGTTATATTACCGGCTGAAAGTAGACGAAGCGCATCTAGTCGAAATAAGTGTGCTCTTACCGTAGCGGCCGATAGCGTTCAACGGTTACCGTTATCAGGCACCGTGTCTGGTGCAAGCCGAGTGAACGTACATTTTTCACCACCATCTCGTCACACTCGGTTGATTGTTAAGAAATGGCAAATAAAAGATTTGATTCTGGTTAGAACTGTTATGTCACAGATCTATAGACACATTTTTAGTATCAAAAGTTATGTATATACGTTATAACACGTCAAAGTAAATTGGTGACGAGAATCGGTGAGCCTACCGTCAGTTCAGGTTCATCATTAAAACATTATATTTTATGTAATGAGCCAATGGAGTATTTTATCCTCTTCATTGTTGATAACTTTCTGTAGCAAAGCTCTCTCATGGTTCAATCTGGGGTTATAAAGCATAAAACTTCAGCGTACCTTTGTCCAGTTGGCCAAATAGTAGAACCGCCATGTTATACAAATAAATGTTACGATAACTAATACAAGCCGTGCGGTGCCAGCGTACGAATAAGGGAGCCCACCGCATGTAGATGTCCTAAAAGGCAACTAAGGGATAAGCAACAAACGTCTTGTGCCCTCCGATAGATGGCGGGCCCTCTCGGCTCCCCAGACCCTAAATATTCAGGTCAATAAAAGGCAGCTGAGTTCAAGGTGCCTAGAAGAACTATGCTTGCCAACTCGTTTGCCAGGCGTGGCAACTATGGCAAAAACCCTTCATGAATGTAAATCCAAGATGTGCTGGCCCAGCCTCAGGAGTTTGCTGAAGCTCATACAAGTCTACGTACCGACGTCGACACACCCCAGTGATGAGGTGGAAGCAATGTATAAGGATCTATCATAAGCCATACATTCCTCTAAAACTCAGTACATGGTGTTAATGTGAGACTTCAACGCAAAAAAATGCAAAAGGAAAGACGATAAGCTTAGAGTGGGCAGTTTTGGAATAGGACAATGGAAATAGAGTTTTGGAATAGCAGCTGGCTGACTTTATGGAGAAGGAAGGACTCTTCATTATTAACTCTTTCCCCAATGGTTCTATAAAAATCGAGATTGACTTGATCGTGACGAAAAAACAGCCAATATTCAATTATGTCTCTGGGACTCTAAGGGTAAAGACCGGCAGTGATCACCGACTAGTAAGTTATATTGAATATTAACATTAAACTGGAAAGATCTCGTCTGATGAATTCCACATTCCGTCCATCTCGTGCCTATATCCAAAACTCGGAAAGCTTTTAACTCGAGCTATATAATCGTTTCCAATGTCTGGAAAATTGCACGGTGGACTTGGATATTAACGCTAAGCTCGTGGAAACTGTCCATGCCGTGGGCTTTAAAACCCGCCGCACAAATAGAATACTCAAAAAATCTCCAAATCTCCTCACCACTGCTTGGAAAAAAGACGTGAATCCGGCTACAGTCTTTAATTGACTTGTTAGACTACAGGTGGCTTAAAAGGCAGACCTCAAAATACATGCGACGAGGCTGACGTCTATTGTTTTAAAGGTTGCGACGATATCTTCCGGCGACTTGTCAACCGGTAGTCCTCTAACAATAACCTCATCATAGGTCATCTGTAGGAAATTGCCAGTACTATTCAAAAGAGGAGGTATCGGCTTGAACTGTAACTGTTACCAGAGAGCGTGCTTTATAAACACGTGTGGTCGTGTTTAACTGACCAGCTTTCAACCTAAGCTGAACTGTACTTATTATCCTTGATCATAATATGAGTTCAAGTTCTTTTAACTTGATATTAACTTTAAATCATCGTCTTTCTACAGGCCATGACATATAGTTCACTAAATGTTATAGCCAATTCAACTGAACAGTTATTTTGTAACATTTTATCGAACAAATGTAAGACATAATTCTTTATATTGATATAACTTTTTTATTATATTTATATACTAAACATTAACTGGAGTTTACAAGCTGATATTAACGCGCACAAACGCACAATCAAACAGCCAGAAAATTCTAACAATTATTGTTTCATGTTGTATTGCTGTGAAAAAACTATGATTGGGCTCCTTTAGCCCCCAATTATTGTATTGTTCAGATATCTTTTTATTTACAGACAGCGATCAATTAAATGTTTATTACTTGTTATGTATCAAACTAGTCTATGGAGCATGGTGCCAGGACGCTGCATGTCCTCGCTGAATACTTATGGTTACCTTTGAACGAGAAGCGAATCAGCAGCCGCAGCGATAATGTAACATAACTTTATAACATTGTGGATACATATAACAAAGAAAATAAAGAAAATTTACTATATCGTACTCTATAATTCTTTAAAAAATGAATTTATTACTATTATTACATTTATTTTATTTTTTACAAGCTACTATAACTAGAATCCAAAGCTTGTTATAAAAAAATGTATACATATTTATATTTTCTACTCTGTATTTGCTAATGTCAATGAAAAATGTGAAAAGCGTCAAGTTACTACCTAAAAATATAATTCCACGTTAAAGAGATCAGTTCTAATAAATTTTTCATATTTTAAAATGATAAATTCTTCAGTATCGCGATAAAGACTACAATCTGAGTTATTTTTACAGCATAAAACATGGCAAGATCGCCGACGGAGGATTTAAGGTTTGGCGACTTACCGCTCAATAGTTGGAATTTCTGCACGGAAACAGGTGACAACTGTACATCTGGTGCTACAAAAGAGAGAATATCAACTTCACTAGGAAATAATCCGAGTGCTTTGGCAGAAAATAATATGTATGGTCACCTAAATTATGGTAAAGATGTATTTTTAAATCAACGTGCTTTTAACGTTCAATCCAACGATTGTATAGCAAACAAAGAGGACAACAATTCATACAGCATGCCTAATGGATCTCTTGGCAACAACCAAAACTATGGAAATGCTATGCTCAAGTTGGACAATGGTCAATTAGTAAGAGTTTTCTATGATGAAAATAATCAGCAACTTATTTTTCCTAAATCTGGTCATTATGAACTGTTTAACAATAACCAGGGGCTTTGTGATGTACCATTGCAGCAAAGCAATTTATTTAATATGAACCAAGAGTTTCCCATGAAGAATAACAATGTTCATATTCCATCTACATCAAGCATACCAAGTAACATGTTTTGTCAGGAAAATGTAAACACACAGTCCACCATACCTACATCAAATTTCATAAAAGATGTTTTGTGCAATTGGGAACCAAACTCAACAGGCACCTATTCTCCATTCGGGCAAAATTATCCATTGAATCATCCAGATGCTCCAGCATTGAATATTTTACCAAGTAGTCCAACTGCGGATCCCATTGTAAACCAAACGATAAAAACAGAAAACTCTCCAAAGAGAAATGAAAATAGTCCTTTGGCTGACACAAGTAACAAGAAGCGTATTGTGGCAGAAGTGAAACCAATGCGCCCATCATACTCAGATGTCCTTGCCAAGAATACTAAAAACAATGCATCAGCTGATAATACACACAAAGTCCAACCACAGAGTGTTGAAACAAAGAACAAGGTGAACTCCAAACTCGATAAGCCATCCTCTAATGCAAAGTGTAGTGATGATAAGCATAAAGTTGATAAAAAACACTCCAACACTATTTCTTCAGGCAGTGAGTCAGGGGACATCAACACAGATGACACGGAGAGGAACAAAAAACAAAACAAAAAGTCCAAGAATAAACGTGGGAACATGTCCTTCAAGTGGTCTTCTTTTGATGACATCACTAATGAAGTAAATGAAGAGTTAGTTGATCAAGATAATGCAAGTCAGTTTGTGTTCATAGAAAACAGCGCTGAAAAGTCATATAAAAAGGATAAAAAGTCCGAAAAGAAAAATAAGAATTCCGATAAGATAGGAAATGTAGAAAACGAATTTATATTTGAAGATGACGATGATGAAATTCAATCTGAATTTATTCTTCAAGATGGCCACATAGAGGCATCAAAAGTGAAGAAGCGAAAAGAAGGTCGAAATTATCACAAGGCTCCTAAGGTTGCACAAGATAAAAAGAAGCCAAATCAGACTAAAGTGAGAAAAAGCAAACCTGGGTACTTGGGTCTGGCTCAAAATTGCCTGGGGCACTGGGGTGATGTAACCTGGAAGGCTATTGCATGGTTCCTGTACCTACTGTCAGATATTTGTGGAATGAGTTTCCATCTCTCATTTGATCTGTAAGTATTACTCGATGTGTAATGAAAGATTTCAATTAAATTTTTTTATAAATTAGTATATTTCCATTATTCAACCATTTTTAATAAAATAATGAATATAGCTACTGGAATGATACTCATTGGGAAACATTAAGAGCAATTATTTAAAAATGATTAAAGATAAAATATATTGTGAACTGATGAGCTAATAATATACCTTCGACTTATCCAAAAGACAAATGTTTGAATCCTGCACCGCCAATAATTTTAGTAATTAAAAAAAAATAATTATTGAATTCCGGTCTCTGTAATTGTAGAGATTAATAATTTATTGTAGCTAGTATGCATTGTATGAATATTTTAATATAAATATTTATAATTTTAAGAGCTTTTCCAATAGTTGTTGCAGTGTGTTTTATAGATTGAGTATTAAATTGCTATAATATTAAATATTAGACATACTTGTTATCAGTTGTATCAGTTAAAATTATATATCCCCCTTCGCCAGTTTTGACTGAAACTATAAAAATTAATTACTTTACAGTTTTACTTCGGTATTCACCCAAACATACATCAGCTCCCAAGCGGTGTGGCGTAGCAGTAAGGACTGGCTCTCACAGATTGGTAACAACAAATACCTTCTTTACATCGACAGAAAATTCGGGCATACACGTTTTGGATTTTGGCGGAAGCTTAAATGGTTCAAGAAAGGTAAATACTGTTGTCTTGTCATTACAAATAACATTTCTGGAATAGATTTTTAGAATCTTTATTGAATATGCAGCAGTATTGTTTTTGATTCAATTAACCATTTGATTTATACATTTACGCATGATACATTCTACACCACTTTATTGATGATAATTGAGAAAAATATTAATGTTAATTGATTCTATAAACAATTAATAAAGTTATGATACATAGGCTAAGTCCATGAAATAAAAATGTCATTTGTTTTTTAACTTCTATATATTACTCCTATAAAACACCAATAACAAATTGTTACAGAGACAGAAGTGGACAGTAATGCAGATGCCTCAAAGCAAAACATGAACATACCACTACCTGCCACAGGCGATGAAGCTATGAAGCGTTTGTTGGCTTGTAAGGGGAAGGACCCATACAGGTATTTATTATAGTTCATACAGGTATTTTAAAGATTAAAAATTGATATAAAAGTTTATAAAGCGTTTAATGAGTCACTCAAGTTTTATACTTAGCTACACTATGTATAAGTTGTCTTATCATCATAAATAATAATCCTATTACACACTTGTCAATGTGATTGTTAGGGATTTCTTAACTTACTTTTCTTTGGTCTTAAGCCTCTTGTAGTCAGTAAATAGATTAATTAATATATAAAATACCAAAACTGTATTCAATCAAATCTTTACAAATATTTACATTACATTTACAATAAAGCACTGTGCAATGCAATTGCAATTGCACACAAGCAATGAATCCAAACAATTGTAAATAATTACGATGTCTCGCAAACGAGGCACTAATCGTTTCTTGACCCACATATTCAAATAATAATGTTGTTATCGTAATGAATTATTAAAATTTAGCTTGTTATCGTTCCTGCCAATTAGTGCTAAATGTTTGTCTCAGTAGTGAAAGTATTACACATCTTGGCAAATATTTAATGCATATAAAAATAAATGATCGCAAAAAATTTAAAGTTAATACTCATATCTTATTCAAAACAATTTTAAAAAGTAATTTATATGTATCAAAGTGTTCCTTGAATTTGGTCTCTACCAAGCTAAGACGGTTTAAATGGTCATTAATGCTAAAATTAAAATCATTAGCATTTAACATTTTTTGTGTTCACCGAAATTACTTACGTTTATCTTAATTAGTTAGCTTAAAATAGTTTTCCTTTCGTAATTACTTTAATGAATCTAAGAGAAAAAAAATCATATCTGCGTATGTGGAATACCAAAACTATTTCAAAGAGCTTTACTTTAATTCTGGAACACAAAACTGTGTTTCTATGTTTCCATGTTATAAAGTTATCAGCTGCATAATAATAGTCGAAGGGGGAAGGGGAGATTTCTGGTACGCATTTTTTAAATGACGACCGTCTCCAATATAATGTTGAACATATTCGGAAAAAAGTTAAGAATAGTTTTATTAAACTGTTTATTCGTAAACCATGAAGTAATATCTTTTTTTTTTATTCCTATACATCACTTCAATTAAACGAAGTGTTGCATTTTGTCCATTTGAAAGCACATAGTATACATTTGTTTGTCTGCGTCCCAAGAAATACTTAATGGCTAACCAATTGTCATATAAAAAGTATGTATCAATACCAGCAGTTCAGTAATAATCATTCACTGATAACACAGAATTACATCAACTCCGTCATATCTATATCATAGCTCTTATGTTTTTCATTAATTAAATCGGTTGATTGAAACAGTTTAAAGTACCGTTTCAAAATGACTGTATCGCTTTTCAAATTTCCGGAATATTAAACACCTCACGGTAGTTAGGTACTTAAAACTGATTCAATGCAACAATTTTGATTTGAGTTATTATTTCACCTTCCTTTTTATACAATTAATTTGATGGAAAATTATTGTAGCATAAAATGTTTTAGCGTATTCGTGGTAGGACCACGCAACAGTATTCACTGTTGCACGAATGGGCAGGTCCGTCCGGGTTAGTACCACGACCTCGCAGAAGACCGGCGTGAAGTAGAAGTGTTACACTTCTGCGGTTCGTGTGGTGGGTGAGGTAGCCGGGGCCCTATATTTGAAGGTGGCAACGCATTTGCAACCCCACGGGAGTTGCATATGTCCATGGGCGGCGGTTGTCACTTAACATCAGGTGAACCGCCAGCTAGTTTTCCACTTTCTCACATAAGAAAAAAATCCTTGTCTAGAATTATACCCGCCCAATTTCCCGCCTTTCGGTATCACTTCAACAATTTCGTGCAAATAAAGAATGAATGAACGAAAAAAGAATGTGTTATATTCAGTTGACAAAAGTTAACGCGTGATTCAATCCAATTTCGCCCTTGTCGCCAGCATACTAGGGGTGAATGTTAACTGTACTGACGACGAGATCAAAAGATACTACCGACGCCAGGCGTTCCTCGTGCATCCCGACAAAAACCAGCAACCGGGCGCCGAGGAGGCCTTCAAAATACTCCAGCACGCTTTCGACCTTATTGGGGAGCCGGTAAGGTTCTATATTGCATCAACTTATTACGACGATCCGATTGACCTAGTTAGTGACCCTGCCTCATGCTATATTGCATCCACTTATGACGCACTGTATGACGACGACCCGATTGGCCTAGTGGAGTGACCCTGCCTCTTGGACCAGAGGGTTGTGGGTTCGATCCCCGCTACTGGATATATTGATATTGATGAACATAGTGATTTTCCGGTATTTGGATGTTAATATATTTATAACACGTATTTATCTGCAAAAAAAAATGTTTAAATATGTTTATCAGTTATCGTTAAAGTAATAAATACTTTGCGTTTATATTTTCCAGTTTTGATATCTACATACGGTAATAAACGTAATTGTGTGAATTAAGTAATGCGTACCATAAACTTTATCAAATTGTAATGACTCTTACATTAACTTTAATTACCCTTATTATCAAAACTGTCGATTTAACTCGCTCGTCATACACAGTGCTAATTCTGCGGTACTCTCATCATTCGGAAACAATTACCCATTCAAATGATTATGTACTTGATAAATATTTGATACCGTCTTTATATAATAAAATGTTTAATGAGAAATCTTTCCATGTATGTCAAATCCCTTAAACTAATCATTTTAGGTTAAAATCTTAATAGCCTTTTTTAGACAAACTCGTCGCTATTGTAAATAACGTAGGGGTAAGAAATGTAGGATCTTGCTACACTTGTGCTACGAATCACACTTCACAGGGTCTACGCGAACGGCTTATCTGTCGGGTTATTGTGAACATTCTTGGCCATTAACAGGAGCTACGCGAGGCCTACGAGCGCCGCGCCGTAGAGTCACGGCACGTAGAGGCCGCTTGGAGCGAACTGAGCCAGCTTTTGACCCAACTGCAAGACAAGATGGAGTTTGCAGCGAACACAATCAGGTATAAGGATCGAGGAGAGTTCTAAGCATACATCATCAACAGGAACATCTTGTTTTGTTTAAAAAAAAACATTCCTTTTAAAGTAGGATACCATAATTTGATGACTCCAGGGCTAAGTTGCCAAAGTATTGACTTCCGCGCCGCGGGTCGTGGGTTTGATTCCCACATGGGACTACGGTTTACGTGACCCACAGATAATTGTTTAGGATCTGGGTATTTGTCCACGTGAAATTTATGTATGTAAAATGTCCTTACAACACAGGATATGGATAATATCCTACCGTCAGGGCAATCTTTTTAAAAAAACAAAAAAACATCCTGCGTTCGTTGGTCACAGGAAGAGACTGATATTAACGCGAATAATTCGTAAGCATTCACACGTTACTACTTAAATACGTTTCATTTAGTAATGTGTGACTGTGTAAATACAAGTTATTATAGCTCAAAATTTTGGACGGAAATGTGATGAAAATACCATTGTTCCAGATGCACAAACTGCGGCCGGCGCCACAAGCGCGTGTTGACCGACAGGCCGTGCTACGCCGCGCGCTATTGCGCTCAGTGCAAGATTCGACACTCGGCCAAAGAGGTAATCATCTCTGTACCATACTATCCGATTATATATACTGACGATATTAGGCTGCGTTTACCGGGAGTACGGTGCGCCCCTGAGACAGTGCCCGGATCATGCATGGGATTCGACTTCCCAATGACCGTCGTATAGACTACCCCGGTGTGTGTGTTGTGTGTGTGTGTGTGTGTGTGTGTGCGTGTGTGTGTGTGTGTGTGTGTGTGTGTGTGTGTGTGTGTGTGTGTGTGTGTGTGTGTGTGCGTGCGTGCGTGCGTGCGTGCGTGCGTGCGTGTGTCTGTCATATTTTTCGTTTCCTATCAAATTAATCCTGCTCAAAGGACCAAATTTGTAGTCTGCTTGTGTTTTGACTTATTTTTTCATTACAACTGCAGCATTGTGTGTGGCTGTGTTTATGGCATTAAGCACCGTTGAGGTGACCGTGCTCTCTTCTTCCTACGGTTGGAAACGCTACTACGACACTAGCGTTGCGTATAGGCTATGTTTGTCACTCGCTATCCGGTTAATCAAGCGCTCGGCAGCCATCGTTTAGTTAAAACATTATGTTTCTCCATTTATTTTATCTAATGAATCCGGCTCGAAGGACCGATTTGGGCTATCGGTTTTTCTACGATAATTGAAATCTATAATTAAATATTCAATTTGCAGGGTGACATTTGGGCGGAGTCGAGTATGATGGGCCTGCTAGTGATGTACTACGCCTGTATGGACGGCGGTGTGTATCAAATTACGCAGTGGGCCAGCTGTCAGGTATGAATGGATCACTTTTTTTTTTATATCGGTCGCTTAGCTCAGAAGTTACCCAAAAGACAACTTTGAATCCTGACAGCACCATAAATTTTACAATTAAATTATCTATTAAACTCAACGCGAGTTGAGTTAAGTATGTTTATGTTATAAAACAGCAAGTAACAGTGTTTTTGATGAAAATTAAGAACTTAACGAGAAACTGAATTTAAGAAAATATAGGTCTTCTGGATGATCCCCTCCTCCCATGACGCTCTGGGTCCCGTACCGTCTTAATTAATCTATCTTTTTATATTTATATATTTGTTTTGTTATCTAAATTAGATGAACAGCAATCGCTGTCATATAAAAATATACCAATTCCCTTGAATGTTCTTTTTTATGAAACACCCCTTCCTTCTAAAGAGTTCCATTAAGCGTAATATGTAAATGACTGCACAGCCCAGATTCAAAGTGGCACATTATATGTTTGTTTTTTTTTTTTTTTTTTTTTTTTTTTTTTTTTTTTTCATTTTTTTGGTATTACGTGCAATAATCCTTTCGACCAACAGAAAAAGAACTTGAAACAACTGAGGCCGGACTGCCACGTGGTGCAATATCGCATCGTGCTTGGCAACAAAGCGGCTGATGTCAAAACGTGAGTAAGAAACAAGTATAGAAGTCATCCACTAGGCAGTATTTATTAAAGTCGATACATTTCCATTAAAAGAAAATAGAAGACAATCAAAACTACAATAGATTTAACACGATAAAATCCGTACAATATTTTTATTGAACAATATGTAGTATTCGAGCGAATACCAAAAATTTTAACGATAAAACAACTCATATTGCTTTCACCGGAGCTAATTGAAAATTTGATGTCAAAATAATCAGCAGTGCTCGTATAGAAATGTGCAGAATAAGACTGCATGGGACTTTTCGCTTTCGTTTCAGAAACGACCCTAACCTGGAGGAGTTCCTCAACAATCTGTACAGCAAGAGCGGCTCGGCCGCGAACGCAACAAGCGCTGCGAAAAAAACGGCCGAATTCAGCTCGGACCCCAAGAAAAAGCGCCCGAAAAAACCCAAGGCTTAAGCGAAACCGTTGAACGATACAACAGTCGAAGGTGAAACGCAACTCTCGAATCGATGCTCACGACCAAATGTTCAAACCCGGACTCATTCCAAAGGGAAATGTTGCCAGTAACGTAGTCACCGTTCATTAGAAATTTGGCTCTGTCTAACCTGCATCGCTGTGCCAGTCGTGCTCGTGTTATAATCTGTGAAAATCTGCCTTTCAATTATATAACAGCATTATTCTGTACAATTCTAAATTAAATCAATAGAAATACGATAAAAAAAAACGAAATAAAGTTCAAATTACTTTGCCAGAAACCGTAATGATGAAAATGAAAATCAACATGTTTAAGAATTAGTTATTTACCCACAATGTTAGTCGCATTTTGTGCACGGCAACACTAGTCGGAATCGATGTTCGTTTTCTATGAGTCGATCATTGTTTTGTTGTTGTATTTTGACGAAATCTTCATAATATTTTTTAGTTTTCTTCGATTAATAGCATTTTTTTTACAATTTGCTGCAAGCTACGAGTGTTCTATACACACAAGTTTCTATTATAATCTTAAGTTACTCTTCCACTTTCGTCTTCACAGATTACATTTGATCGCGTAAGAATAAACACTCATTATTTTTGGTATAAATATTTTGTCATTGAAGAAAAAGTATTGTTTTGTAATTACTCTTTGTTAATTTTTTCTATACATCCATTAGTTATTGTTGTGGCATTTCAATGGAAATTATTACTAAAATATCTTCGTTGTTTTTCTTTTCTATAAAAAAAACTTGCCATAGTCATTAATATTATGCACACGAGGTAAAGTTTATTGACGTTTGGTTTTGTTTGAAGTGATTGTTTTTGTATTGAACTTTGTATTTTAAGGAATAGTTTACGGAGCGTAGCAATTGTAGTTTCTAACGTAACGGAGAATAATTCGAACAATTCGATCGCTTATCGAAATTATTATGACACCTAATAGTACAATTATGTTTGCGTTGTCATAAGATGGTTAGCTATAAATATTCAAGTGTTCAAGTTTAAAAGAAAATAAGTTGTTGAGAGCACTGCAAAGAAGATATTTAAAATTTTCCTTTCACTTTCTTTTGAAACCTGAAATTATATTTTTAAATGTACATTTACCAATTCAAAAAATAAATAAGAGATTTTACGTCGTATAAATAATGTTTTCTTCAGTGTTCAATTGAGATTAAGTCGTCTTCTTAATAATACAAGAGTCACCTCAACCAAATATATTCACAACATCGCTTTGAAGTTTTCAAATATCTTCAGTGATAAATCATTTAAATGATTAGTTTAACGTAAAGTTCAAAATGTATTAGACAAATACTTGATATTAGAAAAATTCTAAGCGATTTGAATTAAAATAATGGTCCACATGCAACTTGTAGAAATCTTATTGTAATTTTTCAAAATTGGAAATAAGTCGATTGTTGTCAATGTCATTTGAACACATAATAGCCTCCTTTAGTGGCTGCTGAATTAATAAAAGAGAAAGTTTCTCAGATCTATTTCACTGTGTATATTATAGATTTTTATGGTTTTGTATGAATGAATTTCTGTGCAGCAGTCATCGTGATAACTTCCGTTATGTATTTTGAAATTAAATCAATCCGTTTTTCCTGCACCTTCACATAAGGATGGTAGACTTTCTTTTGGTATATTTCCGTGTAACAGCGAATCGAATTAAGCAATCGACTTACACAATAGGCTATAATTTCCAAGAGCACCTCGATGTGTCACTGCCCTTAACAGAGATTATACTTATTGATTTAAAGTTAGGCTAGATGAGATAGCTGTCCTTAAGTTCACTGTGCGTAGGCATTCGCGCTTCATGTGTCAGTAAAGATGTGGAAATGTAAATGAAGTTTCATTTGTTCTTGTCTCAATTAGCTCTTTATTCAAGTGTGTAAAACTTTTTTGAAGTTTAATCAACCGCACGACAGCATGTGAACTTTGGGTATTGTCACGTCCAATTTTTTATAATGGTGGAGTCATTGGGACGAACCGTTTTTAAGGGGTAAGAAATGTCAAACGGACAATGAATGATAATACACGTAACAAAATAAATCAATATTAAGTGGTATAAGAAATTATTGTGCGGTCTTCATCACTACATACTATAAAACAAAGCCAACAGACGGCTTTGTTTTATAATCTCTCTGTCCCTATGCATGCTTAGATCTTTAAAACTGCGCAACGGATCTTGATGCGCTTGTTTTAACTATATAAAGTGATTCAGAGGGAAGGTTTATATGTATAATACATGCATAATTTGGTAAAACATAGAGTATATTTAGTATCATCATTGCACCCGTGCTAAGCCGGGGCGGGTCGCTTGTCTGAAATAAAGTAGGGTAGACAATAGATAGAGAACTTTCTAGGTTACAGTGGAACTCCTACCCAATCCCTTATCCCAATCCCATGCAAATACCATTCGCGTAAATATAAGAAACATCAAAAATTTAAAAGACTATAATATAGTGAGTAGAGTTTTGAAAATTTGAATAGGCAAATAAAAATATTACTAGCCCACATCGTTCGTCAACTGCAAAAAAGGGGAGCAGGGTCAGAAATGTCGTTTTGTCAGACGTCAAACACAGATAAATGTGTTATAAATACGTTTATGATTCCATGTTGTCGCTTTCCCTACGATCCTGATCGATAGCAATACAGTTCTCATAGTTCCATTTGGGGAACATACGTTTGTACAGGTTCAATAAAACTGTATCCTGGGATTTGAGCTGGTCATCGAACACGCATTTCATGTGGCCGTGGGTACCTGGAAATAGAATAAAGTCGACTATTATCTTGAACGGTATTGTCTTACAATCGTTCAACGGCTACGACAAAGCAAGATTGAACCAATGAGGTTTTAATGTGCAAAAACCCATCACCAATTGTAATTTATACAATTTATATATTGTAGAAGTAGCTTGTATTTTAGTTTTTTTTTTTATTATGTATTCATAATAAAAAAATAAATACAACCTACTTCTACGATTGTTGCTGTTATAGCACATACCTAAGGGCTCCTTAATATGACCAGTGCGTCCATACTTCGTCCTGAGCTTGCACGGCTTGTAATAAAGGACATCATCCCTATTGAAGAACATAAACCGTATCACCGCCGATCTTCTGTTCACCTGCGAAGGAAGAAATCACCTGATGAACCTTGATGCAATGGTATATAAACTCGTTTGAAAATATTTTTTAAAGGTAAGATCCAGAGTTAATAGTTTACACAGAGTAATTGTTTAATTAGGGCTTTACAAACAGGGGTTGTCAATTCTCCGCAAGTGATAGCAGTCCATACGAAACGTAAACATATTATATACATCTGAAATTTATACATAAAAATATACATATGTATATTAAGTGAGCCTGCCATCTCAAGTTATATATAAATGTATATGGACTATTACTTCAAGATCACTCTTTATGAAAAGTTCATCACATTTACCTTGTATGGATGTCCCGAAAGAACAATTCTCTTGATTATAAGCCTGTCGGGGTTGCAGGACAGCAGTACACCAGATGCAATCAGTTGCAATTTAGTATTCCTTTTCTCCTGAAAATGGATATGATTCTTTAAGTCTATGAAGGCAAAATGCCACATTCACAATTTTTTCCGGAAAATTGCCTCTTCGTAATTTTAAAGACATGAGCCCGGACACTGAGCTATGCCGGCTAACCGGTGAAGATTTTGACATTCCTTAGTGATTGAGAAAAGCCGAAATTAGACATTTTCACTTCTTACTACAATGGCTGTATGCCAAAATCAAAATTTCTATAATCAATTTAAGCTTTCTTGAAGCTTTTAAGTATACTATGAAATAATTAACAGAAAATAAATTATAATGGATGTAGCATACCTTAAAACAGAGAACTGACGACGGACTGAACTGTATGGGCGCGAAGAAAGTCGCGACGCAGGTCGAAGCCGGTTGGAAAAACCTTTCGTACTGAAACATATGATATTTCCTTTGAGATAAACATTACAACGAATACAGCGTGTCTTTACCACTGCGACAATAAATGAACACACGTCTAACGCTACTTGTCAATAATCATTAAAAAATACTATCGTAAAAAAATCCATAATTAAAAAAAAAAATTTCAAACAAACTAATTAAGTAAAAAACAAAATTTGTAACATCCTATACAACTACAACAGACTGATTCATACATTCAGAGACTTTTTCATTCATTGCCACAGTGACGCATTACAAGCCTCTCCTTCTAACAGTATGTTTTGTCTCTTTTAAATTCATTCAACCCATTCATATGCTTTGTGACCTTTACAAATGAACTTTATGTTACAGTTTTCTAAGTAAGGGTGTTCTAAAATTCTGTTTTGAAAAATTTAATAACTCTGTAAATATTGATGTTTAAACAATATTAATGTTTAATATAATTTTAAAAAGTTGTCCTCTATATGTGTGTTCATTTATTGTCGCGATGGTAAGGACACGCTGTATAAGCTCTCACTTAATTAGTGCCGAGAGTAGTAGAGTAGGGTAGCAATTCCTAAGAGTGGTTAGGTCATCACAAATTCGTCATTTTAGTACGCAAGAAAAGTTATAAACAAAGAACTCTTTAATCTAATTCCAATCTAAAAATGACCTCTTTTGACATATAACACATAAATGTGATAGATGATGATGATGGATTAACGCTTGTTTATAAACGTAAAATATATATATTTTTAAACGCTCAGCTGACGGATTTTATTCTATTTTAAACGCATGGCCATGTCAAACACCGACCTTATGTTTACTTCCATTAGTGTGCTGGCTGAAAATGGGATTCACAATGAATCGCCTGTACCCCATTTGGAAGATTAGCCGCTCTTTGCTCTTGATCGGTTCACTGCTAGCTCCAGTGCGCTTCAAGACCACGTTCATCACCGACATCTTATGCTCGTGGGGGAGGAGGCCAAACACGGCCAAGGGGGCATTCTCATTGGACGAGCGGAATGCACTCCAGAGGTCCTTCCGTACATCTTTGACGTGTATTGTTATATAGAATCCATACTGAAATAATAACCAACGATTTACACTAATTTCATGTCAAATTTTACATTAAAGTCGTTTCTTGTGGTGGATACGAAAACGCATATGCTCACCATGTTGATTAAACTATCTTCCAACTCTTTGAAGACTCGCTTTCTTGTACGTTCGTAATTTTCAAATTGGAAAATACGAGCATAATCTTGTGGTAAATTCTCTTTGCAATCCCAAGTTGAGGTCCTGAATGATTCCAAACCCCTGTACCTCATAAAGCGCTCCCTCGCAGGTACATCCTGTGGGGTATCCACTTCGTCGGGAAACTGTTGTTCTTCTTTAGCTGCTGCTAACTTCTGTAACATCTCGTGTTCTTCTATCGCGTCTATAGTACCATCGTACTTTTCATCAGTGGGCCCAATTTCAGATTCGGTGACCGACTGAAAATCATTAATCTCTTCCTTTTCTTCTTGTTCAGAATTCTCATCTTCGCAAGACATGAATTCGTCATTTTCATCATCATTATCGCTATTTTCATCATCGCCATCGTCCTCAGCATCAGACTCCACAATCCAAGCTGCTTGATAATCTGACCAACCTTTTGGAACCTTTTTAATTTTCTTTTTCGTATCTAAATTGGCTTGTTCTATTTCTTCTTCCGTTGGCCAGGTTTGCTCAGCGTCCATTGGATCAGGAATATTTTCTGATAACAAACTTTCCTGCTTTGAGGGATCTGCAACTTGCAGGACTGTTTTAGTCACTTCAGCCTCCATAGTTTCAAATTTCGAATTTTCCCTGCCTAGATTAAGAGGGTGTGGGTCATCAAGACCTTCTATTTTGGACATTTGAAAATCACCAAGCCCTGTTATATGGATTAAACCATTGACATTCAGAGGCATTCCTCGCAAGTATCCACTAACCTTAAGAGTTCCCATGTCTCCCTCAGGATCCGGTACATATTCTACTTGCTCAGCTAACATGTATGGTCTCTTCTCTCTGTGGTGTATTATCTTACGCTTTTGATTACCGATTCTGCGTAAGACATTCAGGCCATCAGAACTTTTATCTAACTGTAGCACTTTTTCTTCTGGTAGCCACTTAGAAATAAGCTTTTGCACATTTTGTTTCTCAGTGGTCCGTTTCTTAGGATGAACCCCTTCAATATCCATGGCAACGACAACTGGTGTTGGTATACCTTGAGCCATTGTCAGAGCCAGCGCCTTTTCACCCCATTCGTCAACAGGCTCATCTAATGTTGAACTTACAAAGAGCACTGTATCTGAGACCTTAAGCGCATCTAATAAACTGAATTCATTGCCAACTTCAGGACAAATGAAAGAAAAGCGTTGTTTAAAGTTTGGTAAACTAGAATAACACAAAAGAGAGAGTTAAAAAAATAAATTAAAACAAATGGATTTTAATTAATGAAATTTTTAACAATGTTTAAAGTTAATTAATTATTTATAAATGTAATTAGCATTGTCTAAAAGTTCCACATTATTGAACTTGTTAGAATTTAAAGATTTTCTACATTTTACTCAATATACTTAAACTGGAGGAAAATTTAGGAAATTTCAGTCCCCTTAAGCAAAGGCCTATGTATTATTTGTGATATTTTTATGACCCATTTATCTAACAAACCATATAAGAATGTTTGCAATATACCAATCATTGTATCATGTATGTTTTATTATCAATAAAAACTATGTTCATGCAAAAAATCATGTCTGATCTAAGGGAGCCCCACTCAAACATTTTTTTATTATTTATTAATTGTTATAGCAGCATCAGAAATACATCATCTGTGAAAATTTCAACTAACTATCACAGTTCATGAGACAAACTAACAGCGGAGTCTTATAAAAAAACTCCTGTTTTACCCTATAGGTACGGAACTCTAAAAATGAAGACAAGTGGGCTTTCTGTTGGTTGATTAGTACACTTATATATAATATTATAATTTTGATATTAATAGCTTTAAAACACTCATTGAAAAATTCAATGTGAACATAATATGCAAACAATCTTTGATCTGAATGAAATCGTACAGAGATTTTGTTGCTATTTAATTTTTAAAAAGAAGTCATGTATTCTCTCCAGACTGGAATAAAATAACCTTTCAATTATTTTAAATATTCTGAACACATAAAAATCTACATGGATGTCTTTTTGTGTTCTTGTCTTATTACTTTTTTTGCTTCTATTTTCTTCAACACTACTGCCACTTCTTATGGTATTTACATCCAGAATTAATTGTAAAATAAAATCTGATATAAAATGCCATTTAAATTTTTTTGCCTTTATAAAACATATGTATGCTGCAGAACAAAGGCCTAGATCGGCCTACAATGATTATATGTAGTTCAGGCTTATTAAATGAAGCTTTTACATACAGCAGTTAAAGTCAAGGATTTAATAACCTTGACATACAAAACTACTTATGAACGCTAAAAATGAAAACAATACCTAATAGCTGATAATACAAAACTTACCCAATATGTAAAATGCCATTTTCTGATTGGCTAACGACGGCCGATTCCGAACAAGTCTTTAAAATAACTAGAGCGGATTGAACATCCAGTTGTGCGTTCAACGGAACTACACAAACAAGGAACGGAGGAGTCCGGGTACCACCGAGAGCACGTTTTTTGGCCAACACTTCCTCGCGCTCATTTTTACGTATTTGCATCGCTTGGTGACGACGCTCCTGTTTTTTCAACACATGGCGATTACGACGCACAAACTCTTTTAAGTTTACTTTACCTGCAAAATGTAAGTACGGTAATTTGATATAAGTGTATATATTGAAGTGAAATAACTTGGTTATAACTTCTTGGTTCTTGGAATACCTTTAACAGCAGCCGATATTCCCCGTTTAGATCTATGTCTTGATTTGTGAGCTTTGTTGCTCTGTTTTAAATTTCCAGCACGATGAGCTTGTTGCATTTCTAATTATGTAATAAAAACCAATGGATATTATTTACAAATACAAGCACATGGCTGAAAACTGAAAAAGAAACAATTTTTGACTTTGACATTAGGATGACAGAGAGATTGTCAAATAGCAGATTGGATTTTATGGTCTGGTATCCAACATATAAACGTAGTGATTACATTCTCTTTGCTGGTATCGAGGACCTGCGAGGACGACGCCAAATCAATAAAATTGTATCTGATAATGTGCAACTGTATATAAGATTTAGGCATGTTTCCGTAATAGAAAACGGTTACGCGATACATATTGTTTTACATCGATATACAAAACTTTGATTTAGAATTAAGTTTTATAACCAAAACCAAGCAAAACTATTTCAGCGTAAAGTTTTATCCGATTTGATATTGATATTCACTACATCACTTTTTAACGCATGGTTGCTTTAGTGGGGAAAAGAGATAGAACAAATAACGTTAATTAAGTGTTGGTGGTCATAATTTCATGCTGGTCACAAACTTTAGTGGCATGGAAATACAATCTAGTTTTGAATGATTTATTTTTATTGATACACAAAACTTTGGTATCAGTTATTATTATACTAACAAAATAAATAAACGTTCCGCAACTAATACATAGAGAAAAATTTTAGTAAATTTATAAAAATTATATGGATGGTGCATATAATTTCATACTTATAACGAATTTTTCATAGCAGGAATAAGATCTAGTGTTTTTTGTTATTGTTCTATTTTTAATCGCCTCGGCCTCGAGTTATAAGACACTACTAATAACCATGATAAAGATTTGTTTAATACTTGTAAGTTTTAAATTGTACAACAGTGAAAGTTTGACCTTGCTTGCACGTGTCGGTCTTTCTTTGTATGGTTTAATTATAAGTATTACGTTCGTGCGTAACAAAGATTGGAAACAAGCGTCGATTGCGGGATGATATGGATGTTCGAAGTGTAGAATAGCTTGATGGGGTAAGACGAGTATTGACCGCGGTAACGCGCCGATTTGATCGGTAGGTCCACTCTTAAGCCCTGTAAAAATTAAAAGAATGTTTTTGAAACGAATTGCAATTCCCAAATTTATTGTTTTTAGAGAAATAGTTGTAGTAGTGCATGTTGTGTCGAAAATTTTTAATTTGTTAATATATTTATTATTTAGTATTCATAGTCCAAGAATTTTAAATATGCACAACTAATTAAATTTCTACAAAAATGCTAATTAACTAATTTTCCAATAATTGGCATCAATGCAATCAAACAATGAAGTACAATTTGCCACCAATAGTTAACACAATTCTAGGCTTCTATTTGAGTCTCTCTCTGATTTTTCCGCTGTCACATGATATACTTGCATGACAAGTTCACTACAAAATAAAGTAAGAAAAAGGAATAAATCGTGGCAGTCGACCTTGTAACTTACCTGGAAGTATATAACGATAGCAAACATGAGGACTGTGGCCAAAAAGACTGAGGTTGGGTAGGTTCTGGCGGTAGAAAGCCTCTCGGAGGGCTCGTCCTTTTATATATCTGAAGGGAACAGCTCAGTACCAAATCTAAGTGTCGACAATGATGCTGCAGTGAAATTACCTCACAACCCTGAGTTTCATAAGAGAACCAAACATATTCGTTTGAGGCACTTCTTTGTGCGTGAGCAAGTTGCAGATAATGTACTAGAAGTTAGAAGAGTGAGTTCATCTGAACAAATCGCGTATATACTCACGAAACCACTTCCAAGGATAACATTGACGTATCTCAGAGGGGAGGTTGGCTTAATTAACTGAGGAAAAGTGTTGTGGCTTAGCAACAGTGGGGTTGATAGTCATGTCACTTAACTAAACGGAAAATATAAATTCGTTCATATTGGTGGTAAGGATCAACAGAGCACTGCTTTCTGCCTTCATGAATTTCACTAAGGCCGCGTCATATGCCGAAATTTGTGCGTCACCTGCGCCTTCTAGCAACACCGGCTTAGTATATTTTCCATCTAGTACCTCCATTGCACGTCTCTCATGTCTCCCAATAATTTTTTCCTTCTAGCAGACCGATGTTCACTTTTGCAGAAACAGATTCCATTTTAATAACTAACAGCTTGATATAACAGAGTGCTTTTAGTGATAAAGGAACTTATTATTAATCTAAGAATAAAATAATTGTATTGGCGAAACGACTTCATATTTTCCGTTTAGTTAAGCGACATGACTATCAACACCACTGCTGCTAAGCTGCAACAAAATATTTCTAAAATCTTTCAGAAATAGCAAGATTTTGGGAATATTTTATGCTTAATATATATATTATACGTGACAAAATTTTCCAGTGTATGCATTTATCCCCGCCAATCACTTGAAAACGCTTCAATTATTCGATCGATTTCTTCGTCGCGCTGCCATCGCCCTTTTGTATATGCGATACGCCGAATTGCATCATAATCTTTTTTAAAAAAGGTGTCCATAAGAGACTCTACATTGATAAATAGTCAAAGCCACCGCCACACAAAAAATTACACCACACCGTCCGCTTCTCTTCATCTCCGCGACACCTTTTAAAGAAAAAAAACCTTTCTGAAATGCAATTATAACTTTAATCTGTTCATAGGAAGTAATAAAGTAAAGAGTAATAAATAAAAAGTATAATTAAAGTAAATAGTAATAAAGTAAAGCGGCGACAACCTTTTGGTGCTTATTCTACAAATTTTAAAGTAAAGAGTATTTAATTATGATTTAAGCACGAGTTAAGTCGATGAATGATCTCTTACGAAAATTAAACTAGTAAAACAAGGAGAATCAAATTATTAACGAACTCAAGATTTACGAAAATGATATAGTAAATAAAACCTTTAATATTCGAAAGTTATAAGGTTTGTAATTAGTTATGTATAGAGCGAATGATCGTTTCGACTTACTATTATAGATAAAAATAACTACACGAGGTAAACGATTCAAAAGCGAGTAGCGACCTGGCATAGGAGGATATCGTGCATAGGCGGCTAATCGGGAACATAAGTTTGCCGGCGAACGTGCTGTGCCTGGTATATGTTTGAGAGTGAATGCGGTGTGTTTCGATTTATGCTTAGCGTGCTTAGATCACCGAAGATTTAAATGTATTAACCCGCGCGTTAATACGTCATCGAAATTTTCTAAAACACTTCTAGGATGACGCCATTTTGGGTACACGGTCCGAGTATACGGTATAAATACCGAAACCTTTGTATGACTAAGGACTTTATTCATTTGATAAGTCTTTTTCAAAATGTATTATGATTTTAAAAAATTGCTAATTGTTTCGAAAATATAAATTTGAGTATTTTTATTTTTCGGAAGTTTTGAGAGAAAGTTTCAAGTTTGGCCAAATGTATTGTGCTAGGGCAATGTTTCGCCACGCCAACATCACAGGTCACGTGACGTGACGTTGTGGACGTGTCATTTGTGGACGGCTCGCTGGCGGCGTTGCGCAGGTTCACTTTCGTAAAAGTCGAGTTGGAGTCTTATTATTGAACAAAAGTTGAATGGTTTCATTCGGATTGATCAGTTAATATAATAGTTAGGATAGTTAAAATACAGTGAAACAAAATGGGAAGTGAGTATTGTTGTTATTTCTCTTCATAAATAGTGATTTGGCTAAAGACACGTATTGCTTCTTTTTGTGTAGTTGTATTATCGAATTGTATTTGATGTGTTAAAAGGTGTATAATAACTATGAAATTCACCTCTTTACAGTCAAATTCCTTGAAGTTATAAAGCCGTTCTGCAGTATATTACCAGAAATAGCAAAACCGGAGAGAAAGGTAAGACGGTTTTATTTTCTCATCCCATTCCATGTCTAAACCTTAATTTGTCAGCTTAAATTGATTTTCAATGTAAAAAAAATGCAATGTGAAGTGTAACACAGTGTCTTGAATTTAACAATAAGTGAAAGTGATTTAGGTTATACCCTAAATTTAACATACGTAACTGTACTTAACGGTTTTCCCTGGTGGCAATCTTTGATTTGTTGGTCGCATTGTAAATTACCACACCTTCATTTTAGCATATCTAATTCAATTACTTTATTTTCAGATCCAATTTCGAGAAAAAGTATTATGGACAGCAATAACACTATTTATTTTCTTAGTATGCTGCCAGGTAAGCAACATTATATTCTCAATTTAATTTTTACTTACTATTTATTATTCATTTTATATTGAATTTGTATACCATATAATCATATACATATATGTATGTACCATATGTTTTATGTATCACATATGTTTGTCTATCTATATACTCTTAATAGTCCATACAATATTTGAGTCATATTGTAATACTTACAATGTCTACACAAAGTTTGAGTGTTAAAGTAAACTATTTTTATTTTCTCTTCTGAAAAATTTGTTCAATTCTATTAAGTCCATATATATTCCAATTTGTATTCCATACTTAAATTTGGTTTACTGTAGTAATAGTCAGAAACTCAAAAGTAGATATTGCTGTTCTCTACTTGACTTTATTTTGACAACCTGATTAATGTAGTGAATAGTAAAGCTGTCTCTGGCTCTAAATACTGATAATGAAAAAATATTCTAAAAATATAGTGTATTGTAGTATTAAGTGTTAATAAGTTTATAAATTTTCAAAAGAAAAGAAGTATATTATGTATTTTTTTTTGTATCAAATGTTCACCTCCTACTTTTTAGTTTGGGACTAGATTATTATGTGTCTTGAAAACTTATTTTTATTGGCCATGTTTTAGTTATGAAAATGGTTTTCAATGTAATTTGTGCATTTTTATTCAAACTTATATTTTAATGTATCATTATTTTCAGATTCCATTATTCGGTATAATGTCCTCGGACAGTGCAGACCCCTTCTACTGGATCCGAGTGATCCTGGCATCAAATAGAGGAACACTTATGGAACTCGGTATATCACCCATTGTAACATCAGGCCTTATTATGCAACTTTTAGCCGGTGCAAAGATTATTGAAGTTGGTGACACTCCAAAAGACAGAGCTTTGTTCAACGGTGCACAAAAATGTAAGTATATGGAACATTATTACTTGCAAATGTCTTAAGGCTATGATAAAAATAATAATTTTATTCAGATGTTTACTTTTTGTACTTGAATGTTTATAAAAATTGTTTCACTATCTCTTTTACATTATAGAAAGTTTTAAACATAATAATAAAATTGAACATCTCTGCATATGTATGTAATTAAAAATAAATTATGTTAAAAATAACTTTAATATCAAAATTTTGTTCTTAAACTTTTTATTGTCTAACAGCAGATAGATTATTATTAGGGCAGAATGCCAATTTGACTGAGCTCTTCCAAACTGGCAGTTTGCCAGAATTTATTTATAAGCAAAGCTTATCCTAAATTGTCATGGAAACATGGAGTCCATAACAATATAATAAATTTTACTACAAAAAAGTTATATTTGTCTTAAGGTCTTATTTTTAATTAATTAGCAATATGAAAATTAAAACTCTTACAAGTAGGAATCAACGGAAGTTTTCCAATGATTATTGCAAATCCATTGATGATGCTATTAAGCAATTCCAAATCTTGTAATTATACTTTAATACAGAATTCTCTGTGAACGATGTGTGAGCACTTTATCTTAATTCAATATGTTTCATTGCAATTGTAAGTGCTTATTTATTACAGCAAAAACATTGAAAGGTATTAGCCTACAAACAGCCTATTTATGTAGTTGTGCTGGTTGCATTAGTGAGACATACATAGGCTGTTACTTTCCTTTTTTTTATAACATGATCTCTGTGATCAGCATAACAGTGGTCACAAAGAGTTTTATTTTATTTATTTATACTGTATGCATACAAAATATGTACACAGGCGGACTTAATGCCATAAAGTTTTGTACATAATTAATGTATAAATGTAATACTTCTATTCAAATGTCAAAGTAGCTTGAAATTCAAGTAACACATGATATGCAATGTCAAAATATTGGTTAATTTCTTGCAGTATTTGGTATGGTGATAACAGTTGGACAAGCAATTGTATATGTTATGACTGGCATGTACGGAGAGCCAAGCGAGATTGGCGCTGGAGTCTGTTTATTGATCATCATTCAGCTTTTTGTTGCGGGCCTGATTGTATTGCTACTGGACGAACTACTACAGAAAGGTTTGTGTAAAAATATATTGCCTTTAATATATAGTTATTAAACAATCACGCTTTGGTAATCTACAAGTACCAGTTCAAAGAGAAAAATATTAATATATGCATGCTTTAAAATATATTATGTTTCATTTAATATTGTTTATTGAAACAGTATGTTGTGTTAATTTCATAATTAATATTAATTGAATACAATAAAAAGGAAAATAAAGTTGACTTTCCAATTGATGCAATTGTTAATATAGTTTTTTTAAATTATTATAAACTATATTACCGTAAAATTAAGATGACTTAGAATAATTCTATAGTGGTTTTTATAAAAATATACAAACAATTTATAACTTTATTCTACATTCTATACCTGGCACTTAAATTGTTTTTGGAATGTATATAAAATGATTTCACATAATATGGTGACATTAATTTCTAGGAATTTACATACTACAAACTTATGTAAACCAAAAATATAGTCAAGTGCTTAAAAATTAAACTAATGTGAAAAATCGAGAGATTTCTGATGAGTATAACATGAACTCACTTGCCTGTATATTTGTAACATTTTAATTTCCCTGAATGTGAACATAAACTATTTAATTTGTTTTCAGGCTATGGTCTCGGATCTGGTATATCTCTGTTCATCGCCACAAATATCTGTGAAACTATCGTGTGGAAGGCCTTCTCTCCTGCTACCGTTAACACTGGTGAGTATTTGTGAACTAAATTTATGATTTTTCCTTTATTTTAATTAATTCATTATTTTTTTACCCATACCTCTATCTTTCATTTTTTTATGTGATCTTTCATTGGTGTATTAAACTTAATACTATTTACAGGCCGCGGTACAGAATTCGAAGGCGCTGTAATTGCTCTCTTCCACCTCCTTGCTACACGCCCCGACAAAGTGCGAGCCCTCCGAGAGGCTTTCTACCGCCAGAACCTGCCCAACCTCATGAACCTCTTGGCCACAGTCCTTGTGTTTGCTATCGTTATATACTTCCAGGTAAGTTACAAGGTCGACTGCCACGATTTATTCCTTTTTCTTACTATCTTCTGTGGTAGGTTTGTAATGCAAGTATATCATGTGAGAGTCGAAAAATCAGGAGACTCAAATAGAAGTCTATAATCGTGTAAACTATTGGTGAAAATAATTACAATATGGTGGATGTATATGTATGGTTACAATAGTAATAGTACTTCAGTTCATTCACTGAGTAATTGTACTTCAAGGCAATAAGGAACTTTTTAATTGATCACAATAAAAAGAAGGGACAATATGGCAATTATGGTAAAATTAGTTAATGAGCATTTTTGTTGGAATTTTAATTAGTTGTGCATATTCCAAGTTCTTGCACTAACAATATGTGATAACATTTTTGACACAACACCCATTTCCTTAAAAATAATAAATTTGGGAATGTGAATTTGTTTCAAAAACATTGTTTTAATCTTTACAGGGCTTCAGAGTGGACCTACCGATCAAATCGGCGCGGTACCGCGGTCAATACTCGTCATACCCCATCAAGCTATTCTATACTTCAAACATCCCTATCATCCTGCAATCGGCGCTTGTTTCCAATCTTTATGTCATTTCACAGGTAAAGAGTAATTCAATTTAATTATAGCGGGCCTATGAGATTAAAATGCGCTTTATTTTAAAAAATGTAGTAAAGACAGTGAAAAGAAATTGTCAAACTGGCTTTGTGATTTGTGCACAAGCACTGCAGAGTACCCAAAACTTAGGTTAAAACTTAAAAAAGGTATAAACTTAAATGGTATTAATATATTTGTCAGAGATAGGTGGAACACATATGACAACTCGTTGTCAGATCCCTCATTGTAATTTACTTGTTCGATTAAAATCAACAATAACGAAAATACCTATTAACCATGCCGATGTAATTAAATGGAAACGCAGCAAGTTGGATACAGGAAGATGACCGCTCGCACCGCCGTCCTTTTTCTAAGTGGCGTGCCCGAGCACGTCCAGAACACACCCCCGTGTCCCATGTCAATTGACTTTCACAACTCATAACCGTCAAGTCCGCTCTCTCACTTCCTGTATCGACCTTACTCAAGCGCACTACTTGACGTTTGCAAGAGCTACCAATAGATGGTGTTGTAATCCAATTATGGCGCCACATCTTGATTATGCGACATATTGTTAAGGGTCCCACTGCTGAGCACAGGCCTTCTCTCTATAGAGGGTAAAGGGCAGTTCTGCACGTGAACTCAATGTCATTGATACTTTCCTTCATCCCTGAGCATATGATAAGTCAATACTTGAAATTAAAAATGTCATTGATGCAGCAGTGATTTGAACTCGGGTTGCTCAAGTATATTGAACAAAAATGAGTGCCCAGATACACAGGTTTCACGGCTCTTGATTGCTATACAAAACACATGATTTACAATGAGTTTATTGTTAAAGCTCATTCTAGTTGAATGTGTGTTATTTGTCAGGGTAAGAGTTAAACCATGTATTTTTTTTTGGTGATTCCATGGCGCAGTTGCCAAGGTATTGGCTTCGGCGCCAGGGTAAAACGTTCTTACGACACAATGTAATGTTAGTTACCGTCTTACAGTTTCTGAAGGGAAGACTACAGTTCTTCTAGGTCTCAGTTGTCGTTGGGACTTACCTAACCTAACCCCACACAAATTGATACAGGCATATCAAATTGCAAGCATGTTAACCCTTTTACCATTGTGAAAATGTACCAAGCTTATAAGTAACACGGAACTGCGGGGAATATTCCAAATATACTGCTGTCGAAAGTGGTTAAAACTTTAAGAGGAAAACAAAAAAAACCAACACAAATCAACCGATCAATGCTTGTTTGCAGATGTTGGCTGTTAAATTCAGCGGCAACTTCTTGGTGAACATGCTGGGCGTGTGGGCCGACGTGGGTGGCGGCGGCCCCGCTCGAGCTTATCCTGTAGGAGGACTGTGCTACTACTTCAGCCCCCCGGAGTCACTCACACACATCGCGCAGGATCCTCTGCACGCTGTTCTGTACATCTTCTTCATGCTGGGATCGTGCGCCTTCTTCTCGAAGACGTGGATCGATGTGTCAGGCTCATCAGCTAAGGACGTAAGTGACTGTTTTTGTTAGTCACAGGTCTTAACATTGAAAGTGATGTGTATTTCAACGGTTTGACTGTAACATCAACGTTGTGCCAACCGCCCATTGGGGTAGGGAAAAATACTTAGATGTGATAAATTTTACCCTAAAATGTGCATGTATTTGTTGACTTAAAGAACATAGTTCAATAAAGGCCAAAATATTCAATCCCAAATCGGTCTTTGTCAGGTGGCGAAACAACTTAAAGAGCAGCAGATGGTGATGCGCGGCCACAGAGATAACTCGATGATCCACGAGCTCAACCGCTACATTCCGACTGCAGCGGCGTTTGGCGGCCTCTGCATCGGGGCTCTGTCAGTTCTGGCCGACTTCCTTGGCGCTATCGGGTCCGGTACCGGAATACTGCTCGCCGTCACGATCATCTACCAGTACTTCGAGATCTTCGTGAAGGAGCAAGCCGAGATGGGCGGCATGAGCACACTACTCTTCTAAGACAATTCAAAAAATTCGTAAAGATATTCCAAATAAGGCCGGCGAGGTCATGCGAGAAACTGACAGTGGAGCCCTATGTTCTTTGGCATATTTTTGGGAAGGGACGTGTCGCTCTCCTATCTTTCTTATTTCACAAACCTCGCTTGCTTTATATGCAATATATTTATGTTTTTACCGTCGGGTGGAAGGCTAGAGGACGTTTTTTCACGTTTTTTTTTATTTCCGTAGCGAATGCGAACGTCTCAAGTGTTCCCCCCGGCGCCATGTGAGCGTGACGCGTGTATGGGTTATGTGCTATTTATATGAGATGAACTTTATATAATAAAATAATTTACGAGAAGTACCAGACTTTGTTTTCAAGGAAACCCAGGCATATGTTGTTGCGGTCTGCAAAAAATTATTAGGTGATTTCTCATTAGGCATAAATTAACTAATGTGTGACATTACAACTAAGTGAAAGTTTTTTCTGTAGTTTAAATAATTTAAGGGCAACATGTTATGGATAAGGCTATCACGAAAATAGTGATGTAAATGTGGTGGCTTTGTGAATGTTTGGGATGTTTTATTGGAATTGCAAAACACTGGCTAAGTCCTACAAGTTTGGGTCGATAAAATTCACACTGTTCTTAAACTTGTAAATTGAATGTTCATCATGTATATATCCAGTCGTTATAAAAATATTTTGTATCCAACCATTTTCCTACCACCTAAAGAGATGCGAATAATTTCGTATGCATAATAGACAAAATACCTCTGTATTCATCTTCATTCAACCTTGTTTACAACCTTTTAATTACGAACTAAACTAAGTTTCCTACATTTTGATTTAAGTTTAACAATTTTATTCGTAACATAATACATACTCTGTTGTTGTATATCTCAAATGTGATAGATATTAAATAATTTAAACCGTACACCATAATTTGTTAATTAAATGTTCATTGGAAAAAATGTTTATTATTTCAATGATACCTATTCTTTTATGAAAGGTTTGTAAAACAGTAAAACACAAGTAAATTAAAATAAGGCATATTCCATTTTGAACAATATGATCAGATTAATAAAACATTTTTTTTAAATGTTATTTGAATTTGTAAAACTAACTTTTGCATACATTTGATTTTATTTTTATCCAATTTTTACTTTTCGTATTAACAGAAACCTAACTTATTAAACCTTAGAACAAGTCATACATAAAACAGTACTTCAGTATATATGTTAAATAAAAGAAAATTGTGTAATTTTGGTTATTTTTAATTTATGGTCTACTTTAATTCCTATAAATCTACGTAAAAACAGTACAGCTGTACCGTAAATTTACGTAAACTGATGACGTACATATCCAAAGAAGCAAAAAAAAGTAGTAATTCTTAGTACAATTTTATTCTCCTCACTATACATGCAAGTACAAGGACAAAACTATTTTCCGTTAAATATTTGTTATGTTATATTTGTTTTCAGTATTCGGGTCTTATAACAAAAATGTTTCATGACTAATGGTAACAAATGTATTTACAAAAACAATAAGCAAATGTTTAATATGATTATCATCCGAAACAGCTTATTCATATTTCAATTTTCTAAATGAAAATAAATATTAATTACTTAGGTATGTGAGCCAAATTGGTAAGAGATCTAACAATATAAAAAACCAAAACATAGATACACATGGCACAACACTTATACAATTAATTTTGTAACATCAATAGGCACTTTTTGTATGTCCTTAGACATGAAGTAATTTTATTGCTAACCGTTTCAACTTATCAGAATCAAGTAAACATCAAGTAGTTTTTCATTTGGTCCCTTACCAACATGGGAATAAGTGGATGATGCAAATGAATTCTAAAATATTTTTGGGAAGACATTAAAAACATTAATAATCAGACTTAAGTGATTGAAAAAATTACAGAAATCATTTTTTTTATGTTAGCAGTAAAGTAATAGTAGGTTAAATATTTGTATCAGCTTAATGATATTAAGTGATGGTATTTTGTAATACATTTTTTCTTTCTAATACATTTATAAAAATAGCAATATGTACATGTACTGTCTGTTAAGTATTTCTCATTAATGATGTTTAACTACTCTTTAATTACTGAATCTGTCGTTTTCTAGATGTTAAATGATAATTCAATATATACCAAATTATTTGTCTATTTAGAAATTTATATTTTATAATTGCCAAACACACAGTAAAATATGCATCTGCCTACTAGCATATTTTCAGACAATCCATATTGATTATGAACAGAAAAATTTCATTATATTAAATACTTTTAAACCCTTTATAAATATTATGTATTTGAAGGAACATTATAATAAAGCAAGTGACATAGCATTACACTCCAAGTATCACCCCTATAATAATGGAGAAGCAATATACCAGTGTTATATAGTTAGTTCTGATCAATACATTTAGTAACTCACTTATCAAATACTAAGTTTTTATATATAGACACATTCACATACATTCCCCCTAAAAATTTGTATGAAATGAAAGGACAAAGCATTTCCTAAATTTATTTTTGTAAATGCTAATGTGCACAGCAATATCTAGATCAAAAGAATTTGAGGCACAATTTGGAACTGAAATGTGGTGTTCATAATATCTCAAATGGAACAATGAAAATTAAAAATAATTGTGTAAAGTAAGGAAAACATTTATTTCAAACAACATCTTCCAAAAAAGAAAAGGGAAAACAAGGACAAAAAATAACTAAAAATAACAGTGCCAATTAATTGCTAATAATAAACATTGAGGCAAATGGTCAACTTCTAATACTAGTTTCTTTTAATCTAGAGTAAAATACTCTCAGATATTCGTCATTTTAATTGTTGTTTAAACACAACCTGGTGAAGTATTAAATGGTGTATCAAATGATATATCAATCTCCAAAATATTTATCAAATCAATATAATATAAAGGGTATGCAGAGTCTAAAAGGTTGACTGAATTGATAAAATAAAATATAATCTAAAATATAACAACAAAAATCAATTTCAGCCGCACCAGGCAACCTATGTTAGATGACCATATTGCTCTTTACTTTTAACTACAACTAAAGATTTTGCTATTAATATTTTTTATTTGTACATGCAAACAGTACCACTTAGTAAATAACTCTATCTTCAAACTTAACACAAGCTATGGTAATTTAGAATAATCACGAATACTATCCATAAACACAATCCATTGAATCATGCACTTGTCAAATTGTTATTTAAATCAAGCTTAATACATTGATTGTAGGCCACATAACATTATGTATGGTAGTTTGAAGAATAACTGCAAGAAATATGACAATATGATGGACATATTTTTATTTTGCATAAAAGAATTATATTTGTAAGAGCGAAATTCGAAGTTAACAAAATATGCATGCAAAGCAATACAGATTGGTTACTTTATTTTTACTATTCAACAAAAAATAATAATTGGTTGCGATAAATAAGGTTGCAACATATTATTAATGTCACAAGGCTAGCGAAAAATAGAGGTGCATAAAAAGTACCTAAAACTTGAATGTAAGTAGAGAGAGTAGTAGTTTTTAACGGATTCAATCGTGATCATTGGAAACTTTTATGATGCATCAAAATAACAAGACAGCTTTGAATACCATAACGGCACTTTGACGCTGAATAAATTTTGTCATCTACATATTGGTGGAATACATGCATACAATGAAAATTGAACATGACAAAATGGCGGCGCATGTTTGGTTATGTGCTACGTAACAAGGGCTTAAGCGACTGTCTCAATCTCCTCTTGCATTGGTGTCGCCGGGTCCGGTGAACCAATGCCCTTGGGGGGTGTACTTGTGTACGGCAAGGTCTTCAGTTTCCTCGCCTCCCGTCTTTGTTTCTTCTGTTGCATAACGAGCCTCAGTTGTTCCAATTTGCACTTAGTCTTTGAATTCTCCATTGCTAAAGTCTTTGCAGTGTCACATTTCTTGCACATTTCGCCCGATGTGGATTTACCGGCACATGTGGGACACAGATTAGGATCTAAACGAACGCACTGACAGTCTTTGATTTGGCACGAGCAAGTTTTAGCGGCAGAGACCGACGTCGACGGCGAGTGGCCGTCGCATTGCCCGTAGGAGCATGATGGCTGGCTGCACATGCACTTGTTAGCCTCATCAGGTATTCCCAAGGAACAGATGTGTTTGGAATCCTTCTGAAATACAATTAAGTGGTTAAAAATATTACGACACTCAAATTTTTAGGATGGCATTTCATATATGTATTGAAATTAATATATTTTGTAACACATGTATAGTTTGGAAGTATATATAGATAGGGGGTTTTTTAATTAACTTAGTGTAATCATTACCCTTGTTTGGAATTGGTTTATCATGATGATCTGAGGTACTTGATCAGATTCTATAAGTGAACAGTAGTAAATTGGCAACAGTGAGGCAAATACCTGCTATTGTACACTAAATCTATTTATTAAAGTCAATTTAGTGACCAGTTTTAGACCTAAGCACGATATTTTTTTATAATATGGAGTTAACCTCTTAATCAACAAAATATAGTGTCAAGGGCTTTATTTATCATTTATATGTATAAGTTTAAATAAATGATAAACATAGTGTTTAGTTAACTAAATAAACATAGTAGTTTATTCATTATGAAATAGACATAAATACTATCTTATAACATTTATCTATTTGTGAGAGAATAAAAATAGCATAAAGCATACAAAAGATTTTTCAGTAACAATCATATTCAACATTCAACCATGTGTTTTCCATGCCATTGAACTAAGAATGATTTAGCCCATTCAATATTATTATCCTGACACAATAATTTGCATTTCAATGCTGTTTGCAAAAGCCAAAATTTACATAGAACTTAAGATTATAACAAACATTCAATGGCTTCAAATGTGAGATCACAACTTCAATGTTGAAATTTCATATCAGTCATTTACATCAATGTTGTAACAAATGAATCTCTGACAATATTTAAAGAGCAAATAGAAAATAAACCTGTAACAACATACCTGTGCTAAAGTTGAGATGGGGGGAGAGGCACACAATAAGTCATTCAATATGTGTATTATGGTTGATATATCCCTCTTTGGACGACCATATCTAAAATGAAAATGTTGTTTTCATCATCATTATACCAAAATAGTACATATCATATTCAATAAGATGTCCATTTTGAATTTATAGTAATTTTCTAGTTTCAATCTAAATATATAAAAATTTATGTGGGTATATATATTCCCACTGGTCTCCACCAAAAAACCACTTGACATCTTCAGGTAATCTTCAGATTAGCCTAGCGGAATAAATAATCCTATGAAGTTTGCTAACAACAGTTTCTTTTGGATAATTAGAGCTATTAATGCAAAGATAGGGGTACCACATAAACATAAATTGGTTTTTAAATATCTCCAAACAACAAAGTAAGCATATATTTTGTAGATATTAAAACAATAACACACATCTTTATTTTAAAATTTGCACATGATGTTAAATTTATGTACACAAAAGGTGTAAATATCTGTAGTGCTAAATTTTAAATTACAACACCATAAATGAATTATGAATGATTGAATAACTCACCTATCTTGCAGTGCCGGATTAAGGGTACCGGAAAAAGTACCTGAATAAATTCCTTTACCATGGTGCTTCATAGATTCTATCACAGCTCCAGGACCAAACTTTGTACGCAGAGACTCCTCGGCCATTCTGAGATCTAGTTTATTTGTAAGCACTTCTTTTGATAACCTCTTTAATTTTTGAGTTAAATTTTTCGAAGCTTCTATTAAGGCTTTAGTGTCCACTGGGGGAGTGGCCGAAGCCCTTTGTGGTTTTTTAGGAGCGTCTGGAGCTTTGAAAGGAACTGTTTTAGATGTAGAAGGTGTTGCAAGGTCTTCAGTGGTCATTGTGTTTAAAGATGTTGGTTTTTTTGCACTTGCCACATAAGGTTCAGTTCTAGAGGTAGATGGTTGCGATTGCATTTCTTGTCTCATCTGCATTCTTTTCTTGTGCTTATTGACCACAGATTGCATGAATGCCTTTTGTTTATTTTGTCCAATTGGGTGTTTGAACTTCGATGTTTTGTGAAGCAGATACTGAAAGCGTTTATTCTTCAAGGGCTCATTTAAACTTTGGAATGAAGGTAATGCACCGTTAGGGGATTCTTGACTACCATGACTGGTTGTGGCCAAGTTTGAGATCTCCCTATCCATCATTGATTCATCTTGTACTTCAAATAAGCCCTTGTCTATTGCACTGTTAAATAAATTCTCCATTGGATATTCATCTATGGTACTTTCAGCTAAGAAAGAACTTTGGTCTGCAAAATTATCACTGTCATCACTGAGGGAACTGTCTGGTGTAAGGGATGAAGTAGATGCATAAGGTTTGTCACACATGGCACTTGTTGATGGAAGCACATCATTAGAAAGTTTATTACTTGATAAAAGGTCTATTAGGCTACTTTTAACAGAATTTGCAATAGTGACTTCTCTGCTCTCAGAAGCAGATGCATCCATAGGGCTGGACACTAAATTAGATAGGGATTTTATGGGTGATTGTTCAGCTTCTAAGGATGTATCAGATAGATCTGACATGGTACAGCTTGTGGTGTCCAGAATCTCTTCTTTTGAAGGCTCACTTTTGTGACCATATTTTTCTTCAGCCATTGAACGATATAAATCAAAAGCATTTTGAAGCATTTCTAAATCCTGTTTCTGTAATATTGGAGCAGCAGTTTCATGTTTTATTTTATCTGAGTCTAAAGATAGTTCTTCACTTTTTAAAGATTTCTGTGGGACACTTTGCAGACTGGGAGATTCTGTGTGGTCAGACTTTGTGCTCATTGAACTGGAACTCTTGGTTGGGGTGGATGTCCGTAAGGATCGAGTTCCACTAGATGAACCAGAATTTAAAGTGGATAACTGAAGTTGTATCAACATCATGTGGTCACCTAGTCTCATGGTCAGATTTAAAGGGGATTTACCACTTAAAAAGTCATTAACTTGTGTATCATTAAGTAATTCTAATGCTTGCATCACTGAATTTTCAGGTCTCTGACTCTGTGAACAATTAAAATATTCAATATAGATGTCTTACATGACATTCATATAAATGTTTAAAGAAAATTTATTACAATCTATGGATGTGAGAGGTGTATTTCCGATCGATTCTATTGCAAAACACGTGATTTATCATGGTGCACAAATTGATGTTTCGAAATAATATGACGTGCTCACCAGAAGACCTGTCTCGACACTCGGCAGCAGAATGACGCGCGAACCGTCCAGCAAACCATTCTCCTCCAATGTGCCATCTCTCAATTGACTGCGAACACCAAACCACTTGTCAACAACACAGTCAAAGGACGCGGATGCGTCATCATATCGACGCAACTTATTTCCGTGATACCTATGTTTAACAATAGAAGTTTGGCGTCTGACGCCACACTTACCTTTCGCGATGTAGAAGACATATTCGATCCTTCGACACTTTAAGCTTCTTTGAAACCAACTTTTTAAGGTGTTCTACAGTATTTTTGCCGTTCAAGCTGACAGAGAAATTACCACCAGTTGTAGTTTGTATATTTAGCGTTATGTCTGTAGAATGGGGCGAGCCACACCCGTACACTTCTGTTCCAGTTGCGCGTTCCATATTTTACACATATATTACACTAGGAATTTCGTATATTCATATATGAGCCACACAAAACTTATCTAAGATTACACAGCTATTTTATTGCAGGATAGAAATAACAGGGTCACACGCTAGACCCCCAGATTCGATGTGGCCGTCGGTGTGACCAATCTCTATCGCCGATGTCCCGTTAATTTTTTTTCTTTAACAGCTGATGCGAAGCGATGCTCACAGTGCGCTCCGTTATGTATATGTACATTGTAATTTAAGTGTACAGTGTATATAGAACATCAAAATACGACTTTATAGCCTTACGTGTACGAACGTTGGTTAAATGTGTTTATATATATATATATATCTATCATCGAGAATTAATTTAATATAAAAACTAGTTTTGTAACAATAAGGTTTAACCTATTTACGTGTAACGGGATGCAAACGTCACATAAAAATTACGTCATATGACGCTTTTGTGTTATAAAAATATAAACGCGGGAAATTTAAAATGCTTTATCTAGAACTTCATACAAACTCTTGTTAAGATAGCATTTATGTATGTTATGGTTATTAAAAAAAAGACTGCATATCCTCAACCTCCTTTATTTCCCAGCACCCACGAGTTATTAAGAACAACAAACTTAACAGCTATCACAGTAATTTTTAAACAAATTCAAAATTTTTATTGAAAGATTTTTCTAAGTTTAATTATAAATATGTGAATATTATATTAATACAAGGTTTATTGGGTATCTATTAAGTTTATATATAAATAAAGCGTTAAATGTAAGTGAAACTAGATATTACGGTCCTTCAAGAAGTAAACATTGCGTCATTCTCTGCCAAATAACATGACCCCATTACACATATTTTTATCCAATGACTAGTAAGTTTCGCAATATGACGCGGTTTTATTTTCTGTAGACAAAACTTCGAATTTCAACTTAGTCAGCAATTATCATTGGAATATGCGTGAAAATTTACACAGAAAACATGCCGAATTTAAATTTAAGTTGAGAGCACATACAGGCTTCGTGTCTAAGATTTCAATTTCTTTTTGCTTGAAATTATTTTTTTATTAATTATACAAATGTCTTTAATACAAGAATATTTCATATATCATTTTTTGACATAAATAACATTTTAAAATATGCGATACAAAATCAACATACATATATGAACATTGGTTTTACCAACAAATAAAAGAATATGAATAATAAATTTTAGTTTTTCAACCTAACACTTCATAATTTTATTATGAAATGAAAAAAAAAAGATAATATTAAACATTATCACAATAATATTTATTAGGAAATGCATTTGTCTTTGTAAAGAAGTAAATAAAAATTAGGACTGTTTAAAAATATGTATGTACTCACATTTTGTCCTATGTATAATTGATTAAATGTTTAGGGTTTAAGAGCTTATCAATAAAATATATTTTACAGTAACTATTTCAGACATGGTAACTCAGGATTCATATATTACCTTCAAAAGTTTAAAACGGTACAAAACTAGGCATGGTAAAATTTAATCACTTTATAAGGAATATTACATTGCAACGTATTTGGTAATAATGAGACATAATTATAGAAACATGTCCTAAAGATTGGCCACAATCTTTTTAACTGAAGACTGTATAGACTGTGTGATAAAATTATTTTAATTTTAGTTTGTAGTGTCTTTTATAAATACATGTAATAATTGAAATTTAAAAATGAAAAAATATCATTTAGGTCATTCAAAAACTATATCGTATTTTAATTTAATTTTGGAAGAATTAACAACTAGCTTTCTGATCACAACCAAGAAGAAATTTTACTGTATTGCACAATTTGTATTTTGTGGTCCCATTTGTTGTAAAAAACTCTGGCGTATTTTTTATTGCTTCGTTTACTTTATAATATTATATGTATATCATTAAATGTTTAAATAAATATACATTTGTGATCGCAATGAAGCTGTGACTTTGAATAACGAAAAACAAGTGCCTCCTTGCAAAATATTACAAACTCTCCTAAGAGTACCAAAGAGGTTTTGAAATAAAATATGTTAAAAATTGGGTATCTGTAAGAGTCCACAATCTTTTTAAATTAAATTGCATGGTACTAGTCCTTTTTCATCCTAATTGTACAGAGTTCATTCTATTAATGTATAATGTGCAGAAAATGTCTCTAGAATTCATTGTGTACATGTAGATTTAACATACAAATGTGTTTATTTTTAATTTAATTTTAAATTAAACCTTTAGATTCAACCATCAGAAGTAGGAGTAATTAATAGTAGTAGGAATACAAATTAACATAGTACAATATTTTATGGTTACTGTTCTAAACATATGCATTTTATTTTATAAAACTAAACTAAAAAACAATAAGAATTATAATTATGATCATTTCATGGTTTGTTCATTGTTCTTAATAGTCAATAAAATGCAATTTGTGTTCACAATTGTTATAAACAATAAATACAAATTTCTATCTGTAAAAAAAAGTAATAAAAATTATTCTTTTTTTTTAATTTACACTATGAAATGAATGAAGTCTATTCATATCTTATATAGGACATAAAATATAAAAATTTTACCTAAGACAAAATACTTAATTTGATAACATGTAATTTGGTCGGTTTCAATACAATTTTTGCATTATATTGTGCAAACTGCAAAGGGAAATACACTAAGTGAATTTTAAGTGGAACTATATTAAAAAACCCTTATATTGAAAACTTTCATTTAACGACTCACAAGTAGATTTACAAAATTGACCTAATAAAAAATACATAAATCAGCTACAATAATGGCCTTATTGTTAACGCTGTATGCATTGCGAGTTCTACCAAAGTAGTAGATATTACTATAGTCACTACTTGCAATACTATATATGATCGCTTGCGTCCACAATAGATGATTTATTAGCAAATGGTGGTTTTTAATTTTAATATTTTCCATCATCCCAATGTCACGGTTCTCGAAATATTACAATATATCTATCGCGTTTGGCTTGTATAGTAAAGTCTTAACGGTGTCCAGGTCGATCACGAACCAAACTCCTGGGTTTCACCGTCGATTTTCCCGAATACGTAGCCCCCTCGGCCGTCCATCTGCAAGTAGTGGTCGTGATGCTTCCACAGCGATTTGCGGTGCGACACCGTGAACAACGATATGCCCATCTGCCGGTGAAGAATGGTTTTAATCAATACGTACTGTTAAATAGTATAGTGACATAAGGAGAACAACAAAAAACTTTTACCAGTATCTCAGCCAGTACCGTTTGAAAAAAATATTAAATACGATTGATAAAACCAACTTAGAATTATAGGTAATAAAAAAGTTCGATTTGGTTGCCATGGTAGCACTAAGAGAGGGTATCAGGGCGTAGTACACCACACGGCTCCAAAGCGGATTGGCGGCCTGCACATATCTTCCTTATTTTTTTATTATTTCAAAAATATGCAGGTTTCCTCCCTATTTTTTTCTTCACCCAAGAGCAAGTGATATCTCAGCACTTAAAAAATTAACAATTTCATTGGTGCCGGGCACCGGGGATCGAACTCGGGACGCTCTATTATAATCAAAAGCGAGCGTCCGGACACTGAGCCACCACGGCTGCTGTATACATCGGAAAGGTCAGCGTTGGACACTGTGCCCCACGAGAAGGAACTGCCCCACTTTCTGGATGGAAAGGGAGGTGGTAGTGGCGTGGCCTGTTGGGTTCCGACCTGGCGGCAGTACTGGTACATGTCCCCCTCCACGTCCACCGACACGGCGCTGGTGCACTCGTCCAGGATCGCGAACTGCGGCTCGTGGTAGAACAGCCGCGCCATCTGCAGCCGGACATTCGTGTCGTGTCAAACCGGACGACAGACGCCCGGTTTCTCAAACACTGATCATCGTGGACGTCAACTAATAAGCTGTCAAATGGCTTTTAAATTTCATTTCAGTTGCCAGAAGGATGGTTAAACTCTTTGAATTGATCATTCTGATCATCAAGAAGATCATTTTGGTCCGTCCTTTTGGCAACTAAAATGAAATTTGAAAAGACATTCGACAGCTGATTAATTGACATCTACGATGGTCAGTGTTTCAGAAACCGGGCGTGATCATCATAGAAGTTAACTAATCAGCTGTCAAATGGATTTTTAAATGTTATTTGAGTTGCCAAAAGGATTCTTAAACTCTCTGAATTGATCAGAATGATCTTCTTAATAATCATAATGATCAATTCAGAGAGTTTGACAGTCATTTTGGCAAATCAAATGACATTTGAGAATTCATTTGACAGCTGGTTGGTTGACTTCTACGATGATCAGTGTTTCAGAAACCGGGCGGGAGAGCATAGTCCTTTTACAATAAATAAAAAGGCTAGCGAAAGTTGATAAACGAATGATTTTTGTAATACGGTAACTCTAATTATACTTATTTGTGCCCGCGGCTTCACCCGCATATGTCGTGATATTGTTTTTGAAGCAGACCAATACTTGTTAATTTGACTTATATTCCCAGACTTTTGTATATTATTATATGGGTAAAAAATGTATCCTAAATATCTAAGAATAAGTGATTATTGTTCGCTTGCCGCTATCCGCTGCTTCTCCCCGCCGGAGAGGACGTCCATCCAGTCCTCGATGGCGTCCCAACCGTCCTCGCGGTTGGCGAGGTACGAGAGCTGCACTATCTCCAGGAACCGCGCCAGCTCCGCGTCGGTGCGCCCGCGACGGACCATCTCCTCGCGGGTTTGCGGGTAGATCACCTGTTCATCATCATCATCACCATTTCAGCCTGTCTGAGTTCACTTGCGGGTAAGTAACATGTTCATTCCATCATCATCATCATTTCGGCCTGTTTGAGTCCAGTGCTGTTCATGGTAAAGTAAAGTTTTTTTTTATTGGTAAAGGTGGCAGAGGAGCTGGCATCCTCACTCAACTCAGAAGTACTCGTATAATACTTCCACTTCACGCCGGTCCTCTTTGAGGTCGTGAACGGACCTGCCTATTCGTGCAACAGCAAGGCTTGTCGTGTGGTCCCATCACCTCAACCCCCTGACGGGAAACGAAAGTATCACACTTCCGTTTCAGTGTGGCCGTAGTGCTCCTCCGATCGAGCCTGCCCGATTGTGCAACAGTAAACGCTGCTGCGTGGACCTAGGCTAAAAAGTGGTAAGGGGAAGGGGATCACTATACGAAAATATCCATGCTTCCACTTCAGTGGGGCCGTCTGCCTATTTGTGCAACAGCGGAAGCTGTTGTGTGGCCCCTGCTCATACACAAAAGTTTAGGAGGTGGGGGGGGGGGGGGGGCACATTTTTCAACCTTCTACCTCATCCCCTGACGGAAACGAAAGTACCACACTGCTGCAAGACGCCGCTGCGTGGACCTATTCCACAAAGTGGGAGAGAGGGGGGGTGGGGGGGGGGGGGGGGGGGGTTACAGGAAAGTATGACGGTGACGTCACCTGGTCCCTGAAGGTGCCCAGGGTCATGTAGGGCCGCTGCGGCACGTAGAACAGCTTGCCCTTGGGCGGCTTGGTGAGCTGCCCGCCGAAGATGGGCCACAGCTCGCCGAGCATCCGGAACATGGACGACTTGCCGCACCCGTTCGGCCCGCACACCAGCACGTTCGTGCCCGACCTGCGGGATCGATTCATTAGGGATGTCGGAAAAATATCGATATATCGATACTTTCTGCCGATATATCGTTATAAAATATACAATATCGGAATCGTATCAATAATCGATTCCGTCGATTCAAATGTTTAATACTTGACATACGTTTTTTTGACAACGGTACCTAAAAAGAAGTTATCGTTATATCGATAATTTCTCCTCGATATATAGAAGTCGATAATTATATTTTTATGAATGTCGATATATCGATATGTTTCTTCACTTTCGGCATCCCTACAATTGATCAACGCTGCGTGATAGATATTAATTTATTTATTTAAAAATTTGTTGTTTCCAGATCAACTTAAGGGTACATAAAGCATTCTCTTCCAATCGATACTGGGAGTAGAGAAATTGGGCGTAGGTGCAAAATAAAATACGCGAAGTAACTAAAAAAATAATAATATTTACACATCGTTACATTCGCAAACTGTGCAAAGAGAAAAGTAAACACTTTCGTTGTTCATTACACTAATTTCTACTTAGGTTTCCCAAAATAATTTGGATGAAAATAGTTTCGGATCTGCGTATACTCGTACATTCCACAAATCCGAAACTATTATGTACACATTGTTTATGAAATATATATATAATAAAATATACATTTTCCATACTATACTTTATCCAATAAATAATAAATTATTTTTCAAGTTGTTCTACATTTAAAAATATTATACAGGTTGGCTTTTCTAAGTGTATCCATTTTTTAATTAGATTCTAGACATAAATAATGATATATAAAAATTATAAATATTTAAAATCATTCGTAAGTAACTAATTACATTCATTTGAACTTATCTCAAAAAGTGCGTGATTTATACGCAACTCATTTATTTTACGCGCGATAATTCATAACTAACACGCACACAAGTTCGTGCACAGTAAAATTTAGGTATTTATGAATGACTACCGCATTGTCAACACGTTCTGTTTTTTAGGGAATAGAATGGCATTTTTTTTTTTTTGGAAAAAAAAATTGTTTTTTTTTATTTCAATAAACGATTATACTACCGAGTCTGAATCTCCTGTGTAAATTTGGGCACTTCTCAAAAAATCTCCCTGTATAAATTTTCAAGCTTATTTTGAAAAAGCTCGTGCGGGTGGTAAGTGCCGGGGCCTCACAGAAGACCCAAGTGGAAGAGTCATACTTTGGTCCACCTGGGTCCGTCACTGACCAGACAAAGTATGAGTAGGTAGCCGGGGTCCGCTTTTTCAAAGGTTGGAATCGCATCTGAACACCCCAGGTGCGAGGGGGGATCACAAAACATCAGGTATGGCCACGCAACCAGCTTCGGCTGTTGCACGAACGGGCAGGTCCGTCCGGGTAAGTACAACCACCTAACATAAGACCGGTGAAGTGGAAGTTTTATACTTCCGCGTTTCCTCTGGTGAGTGAGGTAGCCGGGGCCCACTTTATCAGAAGTTGGCAGCGCATCTACGACTCAACGGGCGTTGCGATTCCATGGGCGGCAGTTAACATCAGGTGAACCACCGGCTCGCTTAAAAAAAAACAATACAAGCAGCGAGGCACTGACTTGACTTCGAAGGTGAGCTCCTTGATGAGGACGTCCCCGTTGGGCGTCACCAGCGGCACCTTGTCGAAGCGGATCACCTTGTCCTGGTACACTATCCTGCCGGCGCCAGGGGCCAGGGCGCTCTCTGGGCCTGTCCGAAAAATACTTATGGAAAACGCTGACGTGGATGAAGGATCAGGATATCACGTCTCCTGATCGAGGATGGGCGGAAATAGTTATGGTCGATGAAATCAAGCTATCGCGTCTTTACCTGTTGGGGCTCGACTGATAAATGACGAGCTTGTCATCGTGCCGGTCACAAGAGTGATTTTTTTTTAAAGTTCGCACAAAAATTACTAACATCTGTTACTATTTATATGATGCGAGAAACTAAATGCCAATTCAAGCATATCCCGCATTTGTTGTATTCACATATGTTATCAATTTAAATAAAATGATAGTCCGTTTGCCACTTTCTCACATAAAATAGAGAAAAACAAAATCGATTAGTTTCACGTACTGCTGTCAAGACACGAGCGATCCGTGGGAGCGTGTTGGCGGGTCAAGACATGTGTAGGAGTGTGGTGGCGGTTCATGACATGTGTAGGAGTGTGGTTGTGGTTCATGACATGTGTGGGAGAGTGGTGGCGGGGAAAGACATGTGTAGGAGTGTGGTGGCGGTTCATGACATGTGTAGGAGTGTGGTTGTGGTTCATGACATGTGTGGGAGAGTGGTGGCGGGGAAAGACATGTGTAGGAGTGTGGTGGCGGTTCATGACATGTGTAGGAGTGTGGTTGTGGTTCATGACATGTGTGGGAGAGTGGTGGCGGGGAAAGACATGTGTAGGAGTGTGGTGGCGGTTCATGACATGTGTAGGAGTGTGGTTGTGGTTCATGACATGTGTGGGAGAGTGGTGGGAGAGTGGTGGCGGGGAAAGACATGTGTAGGAGTGTGGTAGGAGAGTGGTGGCGGGTTCATGACATGTGTAGGAGTGTGGTTGTGGTTCATGACATGTGTGGGAGAGTGGTGGCGGGGAAAGACATGTGTAGGAGTGTGGTGGCGGTTCATGACATGTGTAGGAGTGTGGTTGTGGTTCATGACATGTGTGGGAGAGTGGTGGCGGGGAAAGACATGTGTAGGAGAGTGGTGGCGGGTTAAGACACGTGTGAGGGAGTGGTCGCGGGTCAAGCCATGTGTGGAGAGTGGTGGCGGTTCAAGACATGTGTGGGGAGTGGTGGCGGGTCAAGCCACGTGTGGCGTGTGGCTGAATGTTGGCTGGTTAAGTCACGTGTGGGAGAGACGTGGCGGGTCTGGACATGTGTGGGGGAGTGGTGGCGGGTCAAGACATGTGTGGGGGAATGGTGGCGGCACCTGGGTCCAGCATGGTGCGCTGGTAGCGGCCGCCGTTGACCTCGTCCAGCACGCGCCTCAGCTGCGTGACCCTGGCGGTGAGGCCGGCTAGCTTGCTCAGCTCGCGCCCGGAGAGCACCAGCCGCCCGATGCCCTCCGCCATTTTCACCAGCATCCGCCCGTATGTGTAGTAGTGCTGCGGGCCGAGTGGGCATTTTTACGGGGGGGAAATGATGGGTGTGTTAAAACATGTAGAAAAAGTAGTAGCTAGAGCGTCAGGCCGCGAATGCCGAAGACGTGGGTTCGATTCCCACAGCGGCGACAATCTTTTCGTACTTTTTCTACATGTTTTAATGTTCAATCTTAAGTGCAGAGATTAGCACTATAATAAACTTTAAAATTTATGATGGGTGTGCTTTTTTAGGACACCTTAAAGCGACACCAACTTGATGGTGTTACCAGGACAACCGATAACAACTTTTTGACATTTACCTATAAAGTCAAGCAACAGCCTTTATACATCCCACTACTGGTCAAAGGCCTCCTTTGGACAGAGGCTATTAGGGCATAGCACGCGACCCCACTACAGATTATTATGGGCTTATTATAATGTCGAGGAATACATTGAGGACAAGGATGTGTGGAAATGACTCTTGCTCTGCACTTGCAAGTCCCCTGGGTCCTGCTTAATTATACTAAAATAATTTTGTGTATATACTTAAATAGTTAAAAAAATGTACATATATGATCGCAGAGTTTCTTGCCTGTTCTTCTTTTGCAGGTCTAGTTTAGTGAACCGGTGGTAGTTTTTGACGTTCAATAAGAGCTTAGAAAAAGCCTATGTTGAATAAAGAAATTTTGACTTTGACTTTGAGATTGGCGGACTTCACATATCTTGGAATATTTTTTTGGTATTATTTCGAAAATATGCAGGTTCCCTCAAGATGTTTTCCTTCATCGTGGAGCACGTGATAAGTCAGCACTTAAAATGAACAATTTCATTGGTGCCGGGCACCGGGAATCGAACTCAGGTTTGCTCGAGTATAATATTGAATAAAAGCGAGCGAACAATGAGCTATCACGGCTCTTATACCTATAATTCCAAGTTATTTAATTAAACCGTTACTGATTGCATTTAATATCTTTTCTCACAAATAATGAGTCCAAGCACATGGGATAAAAATTTCTTTTTCTTTTGTTACTCTACAGAAGTATAACTTCTTACGTGCGTAGGTAAGTACGTTTTTTTACATTAAGTAGTATGTGCGTGAAAGAGTAACAAACATCCATCGATACATACAAACTTTCGCGTTTATAATATCAGTAAGGATATCAAGGATAATATGTATTTATTATTTTTCTTTTATATTAATTCCCTGACACACTGGAAAAGACTATGTTCATCACACAATGTCTTTAATATAAATGTATTACCTTAAATCGCTCATTCTCCGTGCTGTTTGCGAGCAGGTTATGGTCCTTGACGAAGAACGGTCGCGACACGGCGTAGAAACCGACCGTTATAGCAATGTCTGCAAAAGAATAATACCTATTGATGATTAGAACCTTTTGAAATTTCTTAACCTCGTATGTAGAGTGAATTCTCTGGTAATAAAATAATCTCACGAATGAAATTATAGTGTTATTTTATAGTTACTAGCGGACCGGACAGACGTCCTGTACACACGACTTAAATTCGACAAATTAAAAAAAAAATTGTGGACCTAATTGTGATACTAAACCATTCTCGAATCGACCTGAAGACACATACAAAATTTCATTAAAATCGGTCCAGCCGTTTAGGGGGAGTTCAGTGACATGCACACGTACAGTAGAATTATATATATATAAAAAAAACGTATCTTCAACTCTACGGGTGTTGCAAATGTTAATGGGTAGCGGTTATCACATAACATCAGGTGAATCGTCAGCTCGCATGCCACTTTCCCACATAAAAAAAATCTTATTTCTATTGGATACGGAACCCGAAGCGGTGCTCATCGCTCCGAGCGACCACTCACACTTGGCGATGATGTTGTCAATGAAGCCCATGCAGACGCGGAAGTTGAGGAAGTTGCGCAGGTGGCGCGTCAGCTTGTAGAAGCTGGCTAGGATGGTCAGCTGCTCGCGATGGTTGCCCTGACGGAAGACGCGCATGTCGGTGATGAAAGCAACACACTTACAAGCGTAAGCATGTACACATGCACGCATGTACACATGCACGCATGTACGCATGCACGCATGTTCACATGCACACATGTACACTTGCACGCATTTATGCATGCACGCATGTACACAAAAATGAACGTGCTTATAAGCGCTCGTTATGATTATATGGCTAGGTTAACCTTCACGGATAGTTGGTTCGATTCCAGTGCGAGAATAGTATTATGACGACATAAGCGGATAATAGTAAATATGCTTTGAACATAGGACATTAGTTGTTTCTAAATAAATAATTTAAATCTGCATTAAAATTATAAATAACACATTGTAATAAATAACACTTTCGTTCCTTATTTCCAATCGGAATATTTCTGATGCTCTTGTTATGTTTGAATTATTGAAAAAAGCCGTTGGTAAATAATGAAACATTCGTTAATGTCACTTTTTATGTTACGTTTTTTTTAATTCTACTCTCTTTATTGGACGTAGTTAAGGTGTACTGATTATATTACATTTTTTTCTTACAGGTTCAACATTGTCTTGCTACAAACTTAACTAACGCAATCAATGGCTAAACATAGAAGCAACGTCATAAATTTTATAATCCCAGCACAGTGTGCTTATTAACGGAGGAATGGCGACAATAAAATTGTGAAACATTTAACGAGTGTACTATATTTTTTTCTTCATTTGACGAGAAGTACATAACAACAACAGAAACTATAACACGATATTAATACACAACACCATAATCATCAAGTAACAACGCGGTTCTTAATTTTGTTTGTGTCAGCTTGTCAAGCCAAATTAGGCTTCCGCTGAAAGCGGGAAAGACAAAAACACCGTTAAATCAGACATTAAACGAAATGAAATGACACAGAGGCAGAAACATTTTTCGCCTATAAGGTTTATTTCGCACTCCATCAAAATGTTGTAGGCATCTCACATCTTCTGCTTCTCTGAAATCTGCTTCTTCCGTCATTAATACGAATTTACTCGTAACGCAGTTTATGTCGAAAAACAAGTGACAGTCAGGCATGTTACATTATATGTTAACGTAAAAAATATGTTATATTGTCATCAGGTTTTTTTGCAATATTCAGTGTACAGACAATCCTAGAGTCGTTGTTTTGCGATACGTGAAACAACTTTTCAATATTATCACTCACCTGGTAGAAAGCGATCTCTTCCGAGTTAGTGATGAGCCTCGAATTCACGTATCTGAATTCTCCCTCCAGTTTTTGCTCCTGCACCGTCATGCGGGCTGGAATGAGGCAAACAATATATAATAAATATTATTACATGTAAGTTAAAGGTAAAGCAAAGTTGTTACTATAGGCTGTAGAATATTTATATAGGGCTATAGTCCACCAGGGGGCCAGCGTCTTTGGAGCGAGGATAGACTTCAGATATCTTCGAAACATTTTTTTGCGTTTTTATTTCTAAAATATGCAGGTTTCTTAAAATAGCGTCCCCTAATTACGTACTAGAATAATAACAAAAAATTCTGAATTCATTATCGTTCTGCCGCTGCTCTTATCTCACCTAGGTGGAGTCGGCAACAACATGTGAATAATAATATAAATGGTTTTTGGCTATGATTTTTACGACGGACCGAACACAAAAATCTGAGTTACTTCATTAAATTGCTTATGAAAGAATTAAATATTAAATTGAAGTACTATATATTTATTTTATAAATACAAAGAAAAGCAAGTTCATTAAGTAGATATTAAGCCGACACTAACTATAATTAATTTTGTGACTCAATAAATAAATTAATAGAGGTACAGAGTAAAACAATAAGACAGTAATAAACATTTTTACCGGTTGGTCTCCTCAGGTAGGTCAAAAACATGCCCGACACGAAAAGATACGCCATCATTATACCGGGAGTCTGAAACAGTGAGGTACCTAATTAATAAATTTTAATAGTAGGTACTTAAGCACATTTGGTAAACTACAACAATCGTAATCGAGCAATATTCGACAATAGACAAGAATACCATCTTGGGAGGTACCATCACAGAAAACAGAGATCAATTATGTATATCTCAGATAGTTAGCATGTGAAAAGTTGGTAAGCGAGCAGGCGGTTCGCCTGATATCAAGTGTTGTACGCCACCAATAGGAATCTACAACGCTGTATGCGCTGATGTCTTGAAGATGCGTTAACATCCCTTAAAATAAGTGGTGACGAAATGCAAAAGTATTATAATTCCAGTTCAAGCTGGTCTTCTGTGACGCCGTGGTCTACTACCACGGAGGAGCCTGCCCATTCGTGCAACAGCTGTTGCGTGGCCCTACCACAGTAAAGTTCTAAAGGTTGCCGCACTCTCACCGAAGGTCCCAGGTTGACCGTTAGCCTGTACAAGTACAGACTAATGTCGAGCAGAGGTTTGCTGATGTTGCTGTAGAGGTCGATCACGGTGTCGCAGAACTTGTCTATGTCCGTGGTGAGTAGCTGGTCGGCGTTCGATATCCTGTTGTCGAGGTTGGTCACTTGGTAGTACGTGAAGCCCCTGGAAAGTGACGCGAGGGTCGGGAGATGTGCAACAGCGCTTTAGCCTTGGCGACCTTACACGGAATTTCTTTCTTTCTTTCTTTCTTTTTAACATTGCCCTTACTTTAGGATATCATTATCCTGTGTTGTATGGACGTTTTACAAACATAAACATGCGAACAAACACCCAGATGCGAGACAACTATTTGTCACACAAATGGTTGTCCCGTGTGGGAATCGAACCCACGACCCCCGACGCCGAAGCCAATACCTTGAAAATTGCGCCACGGAGTCATCAATTTGAAGTATGTTCTTATATCAAAAAATAGTAGTAGGTATATCTGTGTGCCAGGATGTAACAGTTAACCTAGCGATTTTTTAGGGTTCCGTACCCAAAGGGTAGGACGGGACCCTATTTCTAAGACTCCACTGTCTGTCTGTCTTTCTGTCCGTCTGTCACCCATTTTCACGGATGATGTATTTTTCTTGACAATTAAAAAACAATAAAAAAATATTGAAGTGGGGCTCCCATAGAACAGATATGATTTTTTTTTCTGTTTTTAAAGATAATGGCACGGAACCCTTCGTGCACGAGTACGGTTTTTTAATGTGAGAAGATGGCAAGCGAGCTAAGTGACAGTCTGTTGTGATAACAGCTGCCCTACTGGGCTCCTTTGACCTTTACTAGTAAATATGATTTGTTGCGAGAGGAAATTGCGTGTACAAATAATAGTTCATATTATGTTTTTAAGTAAAATTTGTATGGCGCTGACGTGAAAATTGAGAATATCTCTGCAATAACTGTGGTAGGGCCAGGCCACGGTGTTCGCTTTGCACGAACGGGCCGGTCCATCCGGGTAAGTACCACGACCTCACAGAAGACCGGCGTAAAGTAGAAGTGTTTACACTTTTGCGTTTCGTCCGGTGAGTGAGGTAGCCGGGCCCACTTTATTAAAAGGTACAGCAGCAACTCTAAGGTTGTTGCAAAAGCACAGGACACCGATGTCCTACAGTTGAGGTAAATATATAAAATCTACCAAGGCGTATTTGGAGCGAGGATGGAATTAATGTTGAATGTAATAAATACAAAGCATTACGAGGATTTGATTCCAATAAGAATCGCAAATATCAGTCATTTACATAAATAAACAATATTGCGCTTAGATCTATGCTAATATGGGGAAGGAGGCTACAAAAATAAATTAAAAATATATTCATCATTATACATTTTTTACCGTTATTCAAAGTAGTAGGTAAGGTTTGATATAACAACTTTATAATACGATTACTTAAGAGGAATTTATACTGTATTGTATAACTTTGTGCAGCACATATAAATATCAGTCAAAACGAGGGCCATTAAAACTATATTAATAGTATTTATTAAGTCCATTTCTGATATTATTTTATCCATAAATTCACATGAAATGAATATTTCATGCCTATAGCGGCATAACGAACATAACTTTTTATAAAGTTTTATTTTACGCGTTTACGCAAGACATGTTTATTGTTGAATAAAAATACACTTGTAGTACTACATTAGTAGGCTAGTCGAATAGCATTCGGTAGCGTAATTTAAAAAGCAAAATTAAACAAGACAAAATCCTTTAATTTTAACATTCATTTTCATCTTGGGCGCGTGGAAAACATAATTGATATAACTAATGTAATAAAAAATAATGTAATAATAATAATATAATATAACTAATGAAGTCATATAAAGTATCTAATAAAGCCAATCACATCGTTTACAACAAAATAAGAAATAATCGAAGAATGATTAATTTTGGGTTTAAAATAACGATTATTTTATGTGATTTCTTGGGTATAACAACAGTAGCCGGAAAGACGAAAAGTACAGGATTAGCTTTTTTGCCACATAATTATCCAACTTCTTGCCTTTGTATTAATTATTAGCAAGACGTGACGTGTTTTAAAAATATTCAGCGTTATAATATTATCATTGAAATATTATAATGATAATATTTTTAATAATTGACATACATTACATAGAAGTATATACAGTCCTAACGTAAAAATTAAATTATGAAACTATAAAAGTTTGGGTAGGCGGCGGCCAGGCTGACTTTTAGTCACGGGATTCGAATCTCCTCTTCGGTTTTATTAAAAGGGGTTAATACGCGGGTTCGCCTGCGATGCTTAATATTTTAACAATGTAAAAATACAAAATTAAATATGGATAAGAATTAAGCTCTACAAGAAAAGTCACGTTGCTTATAAAAATAGCTATAATAATATTTTCAGACACATTTTTACACAACATTCTGTAGTCCCAAACTAAGCAATGCTTGTACTATGGGGCCTAGAAAACTGATAAACATACCTTAAACATACATTTTTTTAGAGAATGCATATATTAAAAAAAAAGTATGTTTTTTTTGAGCCGTGATAGCTCAGTGTACGGGCGCTCGCCTTTAATTCAATATATACTCGAGCAACCTGCGTTCGATCCGCGGTGCCGGCACCAATGAAGTTTTTAACTTTAAGTGCTGTCTTATCACGTGCTCCGCGGTGAGCGAAAACATCGTGAGGAAACCTGCATATTTCGAAGATATGTGAAGTCCGCCAATCCGCAGTGGGGTCGCGTGGTGGACTATGCCCTGATACCCTCTGTATAGAGGAGGCCTTTGCCCAGCAGTGGGACATGTATAGGCTGTTACTTTCCTTATTCTTTTTTTATATTTTTTTAGCGTGAAAAATTATCGAGAACATGTTCTATGTGTTCGAAAAACATTGATCAAGGTTAACACATTTTTTGCTGCTTTCTGATGTGTACAGTTTGTTATAAAAACTCTGAATAGTTTATTTGAATTCACGCAGAGCATTAACAGTTGTTTAATATTCCTGTTAGCAATTTTATACATAAGAAATGTTTTATTATAAATCAATTAACTCTTGTTACTGGTAACTGACACTGGGAATCCGAATAATTTATACTATAATATTTTTCTTCTACGGTTTTTCGCCATAGGTCGATATAGACGTAGCAATAACATTCGATGGTGCGAATGGACCCAGAAAATCGCTATACGATAGGCAGACCGCGCTACAAGTGAATCCAATTACGAAACGCGCAATGGATGAGATCACTCATTCGAATGTAGTCTCTATTACGGCGTAATAGAGTTGGAATACGCAATCTAAACGAGCAGTTAACCGCCGCCATTATTATTATCGAGATTTGCGTAAACAGCATCCACTGACCGGAAAACTGTTTGCGGTTTGGATTGGTTCAAACAAACGCATTTACGTCGGACTAGGACGTCATAGCAAGCGAAATGAAAAGCGTTAGAGAAACGTTAAAATAATAAACCTGCAGCATTGGCACTAGAATTTTCTAGAGACGATACTCTGCCAGTGATCAACCAGCGATAGGTTTAGTAAATTACATTTATCTGTGGTAGGGCCATGCAACAGTCTTCAGTCAACAGGGTCCGTCCAGGATCAGCGTGAAGTGGAAGCTATTATAATTTCTCGTTTCGTCCGTTCAGTGAGGTATCCGGGGCCCAGCTGCAAGCCCCTCATGTGCTATAGATGTCTACAGCCCATGGGCGGCGGCATTCACTTAAGATCAGGTAGGCATGCACGCTTGACAACCTTTCCGACAACTAAACCGACCACTGAAATATTTTTATCCTATCTTTTAGTATTGGTTGTTATAGAGGTTACAGAAATACATAATCTGTGTAAATTTCAACTGTCTAACTATCGTGGTTCATGAGATACACCCTGGTGACTGAGGGACAAACAGACAGGCGGTAAGCGGAGTTTTAGTAATAGAGTTCCGTTTTACCCTTTGGATACGGAACCCTAAAAATATACATAATAATAATACCCTACGGTGGTAGGGCCACGCAGCAGCCTCGGCTGTTGCACGAATGGGCAGGCCCGTCCGGGTAAGTACCACGACCTCACAGAAGACCGGCGTAAAGTGGAAGTATGACAAATACTTTCGCGTTTCGTCTGGTGAGTGAGGTAGCCGGAGCCCAATTTTCAAAAGGTTGTCAACGCATCTGTAACCCTCGAGTGTAGCAGATGTCCATGGGCGGCGGTATTCACTTAACATCAGATGAACCGTCTGCTCGTTTGACAACTTTTTCGCATAAAAAAAAAAAAAAAATATATTCCATTTAAGCCCACTTTCATTTTTTTCTACCACACGCATTAGGAGAAACCAATAAACATTTACATACGTATATGAATTTAAGAGGTGATTGAAGCCATTTGATGAGATAAAATTGATCACCGGCTTTGCCATTTCAAAGAACAGAACATGTTAACCGTTTATACTTTTTGAGTCTACAGTATGCACTATATGATGTCATCGTATTTTATGTTAAGGGCGTGTTTGCGAAATCTCGCGGAATCTGCAAAAATAAGGGGTTTTCAGGTACATTTTGCGGCAAAACGAAACGAATATAATGTAAGTAATAATTATCACATATAGATCCCTCCTTGATCTTCAAATGGTAGATAGTTTTTAATCGAAAATTTTGGTTTATAATATTGTAAATGAGAATTTTCGTTGCCACTTCGTTCAAAATGGACGATATCCTGTTGGGTTTAGGAACATTTTTCTCTTATTTAATAACATATTTTTTTTATTTAAAAATATTTTATGTAAGCACACATGTTCAACTCAAAAAGGTTACATTACGTATCAAAATTTTTGAAATTAGTGTCAGAAAAAAATAAAGATTAAAGTCAATTTCTTTCACATTTATATCTTACGCGTGAATCTTAAGTGATTGACATAAAGGTTATTTTACTGGTCACTTTTTTGATTTATTCCACAAAAATATTTAAAGAAATATTAGTCGGCGCTCGGCTGCCGTCATGAGTGGTTACTGTGTCGCTTATAAACAGCAGCTCGTGAGGAAAAAGATCGCTGTACGAATACAAAATATTTGTCGTAACAAAGTTGATACTTTACACATCATGTTCGGACTTCGGACTACGAACGACAAAAGTAAAATTTAATTCACACTGTCATAT